TTCAATATTTTCTTGATCCAAGAAAATTAGTGAATCAAATATACGGACAAGTACATAATTTTCTTGAATCAGTGAAATTTTTTTTCAATGTAGAAAATAGTGAAATATTTTTGAGATTTTAATGTATTTGAAAATAATAATTATTATTTGATTACGATAAAAATTATTTGGTCCAAGTAAATATTTACATATTTGCTAAAGATTTATAAATATAATTAATAATTATTCATAATTATTAATAATTAATAATTATTCATAATTATTAATAATTAATAATAATTCATAATTAATAACAAGAAGAAAAATTTACACTATCAATCGAAATAAAATATAGTATTAACAAAACTGATTTATTGTTGCAACAGAATTTCTGTTCCTCTATAACAATTCAAAATTGTTTGTGGTAACAAAATCAAAATTATTGAGAGAAGAAAAAATTTTGTTGTCACAACAAAACAAAATTTGTTAGTTGTATATATTTTATATATATTTTTTATTGTATATATTTTTTTTGTATATATTTTATTAAATTTAATTATTCTTCTTTCTCCTTGTCAAGTAAACGATTATTTGAATTAAATGAATTTTTTTTTTCAATGTCAAATATAATTAATTTATTATAAATAATATTTAAACGTAAAATTGAAAAAAAAAAAAAGATTTATAATTCAATTATTGCCAAAGTTAAAGTATTTCTTTAAATTAAGATTAAGACTGTTGAATAAAGGATTTTATCTGGAAATAAAAAAATTATCAAGATTTTAATAAGTCTTTTATATTATAAGAGTAATTAAATCTAATCTGAAAATTGATAACAATATCTAAATGTTATTAATGTTTTTGTTATTATTATTATTATTATTATTATTATTATTATTATTATTAAAATTATTATTATTAAAATTATTATTATTATTATTACATATTATTATTATTATTATGATATTATACATATTATTATGATTATTATTACATATTAGTAAATATTTTAAAAAAGTGAATTGATATATAAAAGTTGTATTCCATTACAACTTGAAGTTATAATGAAGAAGTAACTTTCGCAACCCCCTATTGTTATACCTTCAGTTAAGAAAATTTTTTTTGTAAAACACTACTGACACGCAAAGAAAAGATTCATTTAAGTTAAAGTCAATTCATTATCATTTATAATACGCACAAAAAATTTTGTCTCTTTTTTTTTCTTTTTTTGGAAAATGTTCTCAATTGTTTTATATGTATTAAATTACAATAGGGATAATTTTTGGAAAGAAATGAAAAAATTTAATATTCAAATGAAGTAATTTTGTTGAAATAATATTATTATTTTAATATATATATATATATTGTATACCAATATATATATATATATATATATATATATATATATATATATGTAATATGGCTATATACATAAAGTTCATTTTTATGAATTAAAGTAGCTTAATTTTTCTGAGAAAAAGTTATTCAATAAATTATTATATTAATACGGAACATAAACTTGAATGAAAAGTAATAGACATTGGGTTACGTAATAATAGTAAAATATAGTTATATTTAAAGGTATATCAGTGCTTATTTATATATATATATATATGGTTAGATAAAAAGACTTTAATATATATAAGGAATCAATGAAAAAATGTTAAGTTACTGTGTATAGTGTGTAAAGTCATGAAAAAAAATTTGTTTCTTTTTTCTCTGTGATATACAATAGTAATAAAAATTGAAAAGTTTACACTTAAATATCGAAGAAGGAAAAGAAAAGAAAAAATTTTTTTTTTAAATAAATTTGAAAAATTTCCTCCTCCTCCTGGAGGAAGCATTGTAATACTAAAATTTTTTGATGTTGTTTTTTTGTCGAAAATTATAGTTAACTTATAGGGAGTCAATCGGAGAATAAAAATGAATATTTTAGGTTTGATTTTGATAAGACGGTAATTTTTGAAATATGTAGCTAACCCAAAGAGAGAGAGAGAGAGAATGTTGTTTATATTATATACTCTAAACTCTTTTTGAAATTCATATATCAACTGTATTTAAAAATTCGATCAAGGTGTAAAGTGTGCAGGTCATCATGCTGGTCGCTGACCTCACAGTTAGAGTACGCTCTTGTATAATAAACCGAATTCGATCGAGACACTAGCTTATTCTATGTATATGTATATATATATATATTCTATTCGCACTATTGTAAACGTCTCGACACTTCACCTATCAACGTATATAGAGTAAAGCCTAGACTAGAGCCTTCAGAAAATTGAGTCCCGTTGCACTTTCCTTTCAGAGACATCAGTCCTTATATATATATATTGACTTTATAGATTAGTTTTCCATTTACTATTTCATTCGACTTTCTTTTTAAACAATTTTCATTATTTTTTTATATCTCCCACATTTTTTTTTTAAATTTTTGTATAATTTCAAAAAAATAATTCAATTTTCAAATTAATTTAGAAAATAAAAATCAGTTAAAGTACCTGAGATTCTGTTGAATATCATACTGATAATATACAATCAGTAAATAAAATCATAGTATAATACCAAAGTGACATTGAACTCAATTTTTTTTGACAATTTTTTTTTTAAAGTAGAAATGGTTTTTTTTAACAATTGGTAATAAAAAAAAAAAAATTATCAAAAATAAAAAAAATTAACCATTATTTAGTAAACAGTGAATACATATATATATATATTCAAGAAAATAATCTCTGAAGTCATCTTTAGATTGTAAATTTCTGGTCAACCTTACACGCAACCAAGGACGACTAGGTTCTTACTTTCGAAAAATGAAACAATTCCAGAAGCCCTGCAGTTAAATTTTCTTGATTTGTCGGGTAAAATTGAGTCTCAGGAAATTATAACTTTTTTTATTTTCTAAACCTTGAATGCAATTTTTTTTTATTTACACAATATTTTTTTACTTTTATCTAAAATTTTACTCTTTTTTTTTATTACTATATTATATAAATATAAGAAATAAAAAGAGAATCGAGTATATATATATATATATAAAAAAATATGTTTATTTCAATTGATTATAAATGTAAAATGTTATTCAGTCGAAAGAATATTTATAATAATCATCAATTTTTTTTTTTTCTTTTTTTTGATAAGAATTATAATGATTATAATAGAATGGTATATGATATAACCTTGGGCTTTTTTCCAAGAATTCCATCTCATTTTTTAATGGCGTCAAGTCAGGTGAAGTTTGTTTATACAAGCCAAGAAAAATCTGCTGACTTATCAGCAAACATCTGTTAAAATAGTAAATAGTTGAAATTTGGTGAAAAATTTATTTTTCAAAAAAAATTCGAATTTTACAATCAAAAGCCGTATATTTTACTGTAAAAAAATTAGTTCATTATATATATTATTAATGATAATTATAATAATAATCTTAATTCTATTCATATATAAAGTTAAAAAATTTCAAGAAAGTATATTTTTATCGGTTTGAAAAATATTTTTTTTTAATCAGATTTATATAAAATTATTCATAAAAAAAAAGTGTCATTACAAAAAAAAATTGTTCAGCTACATTGAATTTAATATATTGTTTGAAAAACAACTGTCTTTCGCGATGAATACCAAAGACAAGTCACAAAAGTCGCTTTAAGCATCAGTCATGTGTACATTACGTTTTTAAAGTCTTAATATCTAAGCGGATTATCTTGTCCGCCTTTATTCAGGAACGTGTGTCATATTTTGTAAACCCTCAACAAGTATTTTATTCTTTTTTTTTTCCTCGAAAAGGAAGTTAACAAATAAAATTCTGTATACATTATTATAGATATCGGAAATATTTAATTTCCATGTTCATTCCTTTACAGTTTAACATTATAACAAAAAAAAAATTTCAAAAAATAATTTAATTCTAAATATTTATTTAGATTAAACAAATTTATAAAATAACCAAAAATGGGTAAAAAAAAATATTCTTCTTTCTAAATTGTTACTTTTTCAAATTGGATACTTATTTAAAAAAAAAAAAAATGTTTTATGATCCATTAAGGATTATATGATATACTTATATGGTGAATGAAAAATGCAATAAGAACTAGAGGTGGTTCTTATAAAGATTAGGGCCGTTACTTTAATTAGTATTATCAACTCGATTATCTGCTTTTTTGATATCACCCTTATTATCTTTCGTTTCCAATTAGTAGGCACATGAATAGGCTTTCTAAACTTCGTGTTAATCCCTCTAAGTACAATGTCAAAATTTACTTCCTATAAAAAAATTGGATATATTTTTATGTTCGAAGGTTATAATATTTATAATAAAATATAATATAATATTTACAATATAATATTTAAATAAATATAATATTTACAAATTATTAATATATTTTTTATATTCATAATTATTTATAATCCTTTCCTTATTTTAGAGAGAAAATCATTTTTTTAAACACATTTTTTCTATGACAGAGATTATTTAATATATTTTACAATAACCCTATTTTGTAGCTTCACTGAGACTTTTTTTTCAGAAAAAAAAAATTTAAAAAAAGGTAGTAAAATTTTAAGTGCTTTTTGTCAATTTATTATTTCCTATAGTTTTTTTTAGTTATTAAAACAAAAATAATATAAAAAAAATATATTAAAAAAATTCCTTGTTTAAATATCCCGAAAAGCTATTTTTTCAGCTTCCTTCAAAATATAAAATTTGTTTCCTGTGCCTTATGAAAAAAAAAAAATGCGCCAATTAATCTAGACATAGATGGATTATATATTAAGTAAAATATACTTTTGACCCTTTGATCTTTTTAATCTCATAATTTTATTGAGATTAACATTGGTTCAAGTAGAAAATTTAGCCCCGATTCTTGAAATATAATTTTTATATATACTTTTTTTTTTTGTTTCTCTTAATTAATCAATATTCATTTCCAGGTGATAGCAAATTTATTTCTATTATTCAAATCTTATAACTAATTATAAATAATTAAAATAAAAAAAGAATGGTTTTTAACAAATTTTATTTTTTTTTCCAGAGTTTTTAACATTCCATCCCAAGGCATAATACAGCGTTCCCAATTTCAGGAAAAATTGCCACAATGGGTCGGAAGAAGATACAGATCTCGCGAATCACGGACGAACGAAATCGTCAGGTATTTATACGAAAAATTTATTTTAAATATTTAAAAAAACTATTTTTTCTTTAAAGTATTTAAATTTTTATATAAAAAAAAATATATAAATAAAAAAATTGAATAATTTATAATATTAATTGATTCAAATTTGTAAATTCGACAAGAAATATTGAACTTCCTTTATTATGTAAGAAAATTAGCATGTTAGTGTGGAATTTAAAAATCAAACGTATCCAAATACGTAATAAATGAATGTATTTAACTGAGGAATTTTTTTTTCTGTTCTCCTGACTAGGTGACTTTTAATAAAAGAAAATTTGGGGTAATGAAGAAGGCATACGAGTTGTCAGTTTTATGTGACTGTGAAATTGCATTGATTATATTCAGTTCAAGTAATAAACTTTACCAGTATGCAAGTACTGACATGGACAAGGTTCTTCTCAAGTATACGGAGTACAACGAACCCCACGAGTCACTTACCAACAAGAATATAATCGAGGTGAGTCGATTTCATATTTTGCGTAGGTACACTAAAACTTTCAATAATAGAAATTCATCTTTCAATCCTATTTAACAAGTTCAAAAAAAAAAAAAAAATTATTCTCTATCCTTTTCGTCATTTATAAAAATCGAGACGCTTCAATATTCCTCAAAAATGCATTAGTTCGAATTTTATTTATTTTTATTTCATTTTATGAATTTCAAAAAAAAAACTGAAAATTCGAACTCATGGTTTTTAATGAATATTTATGCGTCTTATCAAAAAAAAATTTCTGTCCTCTTTCATTTTTCCAATACTCTAGAATTTTTCTTAGACTCTTTAGAATTTCTTGCATGACAATAATTCCGCTGGTGCACTCGACTGTATTTGATTATTTTTTTTTTTTAATTCTATTTTGAAAATCGAAAAAAAATGCACTCAAATGAGAATTGTGTTCGATTAGGAATTTCGGAATTTTATTTACGAAATGTAAAATCGATGTTTGTGTCGTAAAAGAAAAAAAATTCGGAGCACTTTTTTTTTAATATTGAAATTAAATAAAAATATATAATTTTTGAAGGACGTTTTCTACGCAGGATTATAATAAAAGAATTTAAAATCGATACTTTGACGATTTTCCAAGTTTGAAAAAAGAAAAGATAGTTTAAAAACGTGTAATCTAGGCCGATTTTTTTCTTTTTTCTTTTGAAGGGTTGGGGGGGGGGAGGTTAAAATTTAGAATCGGTTTTGAGAATTATACTCGATAATAATTGGTTAGGATAATTTGTGTGTCGGTGTTTATACTAACGTGCATGTGAAAGTTGAGTGCCCTCGGGCGGTGTGGTCACGTGAACCTGTCTGCTGACACTTGCAGGCGCTCAACAAGAAGGAGCATAAGGGTGCAATGTCTCCAGAGAGCCCCGAGCCGGATACCAGTGAATACAATCTTACCCCCCGAACAGAGGCCAAATACACCAAAATCGATGAGGAGTTTCAGATGATGATGCAAAGAAATCAGCACAACGGAACGAGGGTGAGTTTTTCTTTTCACACACACACACACATAAATATATATCTGAACCCTCGAAAAATTGAGGTATCTATTTCATTCACAAATAATCCCATTGAAAAAGCTTTCGTACAAGTTCATCAAACTCTTCATATTTTTTTTTTCTTTTTTATTATCAAATTATCTGTATTTTATTTTTATTTCGCTACGAAATCAAATTATACTAATTTCAATTTGTTTTCGTTTTTTTTTTGTGTTACGAAATTTACCTGATCTGAAGAAATCTGGTTTTCATTATCACTATTTTTATGATTGTATATTAAATAATGTTTAATTTTTTAGGGAATGGGTCAGTCTAATTATACACTACCTGTTACCGTACCTGTGAATAGTTATGGAGGAGAATCTCTTTTGGGATCTAGTCCACAAATGGCACACACCAGCATCTCTCCAAGGCCATCGTCATCTGAAACTGATTCAGGTAATTATGCCACTCAAATTGTAATTAAATAATTGGCTTTAAGGGATTACATCAAGGTGATCGTGTGATCATTTTAAATGAATTTTTATATATGTAAATGAATAATTTAAAAAAAAAATTTTTCAAAAATGACAAATATTAATTTTCTTCTTTTAATCATTTAAATTAAATTTATTCCTTTTTCTTTTACGAACGAAATGTAAATGTCATGTGACAACCTTGAATACGTATGACCTGAAAATTAGATATAAAAAAAAAATTTATCTCTGAATTTTGTAAATTGTATACCACTTTTAAAATATTCAGGAAAATTTAAATTAAATCGAAAACAAAAAATAAAGAAATAAAATTACCTTCAGAATAATGATTTAGAAGAAAAATTTCTTTTTAAAATTAATAATGTAAAAAAAGAAACAAAAAGTTATAAGTATTGATTGTTTATTATTTTTTGTAGTTTATCCACCGGGAGGGATGTTGGAGATGAGTAATGGATATCCACCGTCAGCATCTCCATTGGGCGGATCTCCAAGTCCTGGACCTTCACCTGCTCTTGGAGTTGGTGGCGGTAGCGGAAATAAACCTGGTAATCCTCCTAGACATTCACCACAACCACCGCCGCCACCTCATCCTCACAGAGCCAATTTACGAGTAGTTATACCCACGCCTCTTACACAATCTCTTTCAGAAGACACAAATTATGATGTGAGTAATAAAATTGATTTTTATTTCATACATTTTTATATTTACTCAATTTACCAAATGCTACAAACATAAATATCTTTTTTTTTTACTTTTTTTTTATATATAATTTCTTTTTTCGTGATTTCACTTTATTATCAAATGTATTATTTATCAGAAAAATTGTAATAAAAACGGTTCATTTAATAATAATTTAATAATAGTTAATAGAAATATATATTTATAGAATTTAATTGTTCACTGATTATTAATTAATTTCTGAATTACAGAGCGGACACACGCAATCCTCGTTAAACACGCCGGTAGTAGCATTACAAACACCATCAGTTCCTGCTGGTTATTCTAGTTTTGGACCAACAGATTATTCCACGGATCTTGGCAATTTAACGTGGTCTCATCAGAGGTACGTTGATGACTTATCAATGTATTCAGCAGTCGCCATGTCCAACATCAGGTAATTCTCATTTCATAATTATTGTGTTATATGAAAAAAAAACTAATTGTATGTCCAGCTAATTCTTTTTATAATAGCATTTTTTTTCTCTTTAAATTCTTTGATGAATGCTTTCTTTTATTTTTGCACTTTTTTCTTTTTTTGCGTGATTATTTTTAATCTATTTTTCTATTTGCATTGCTTAACAAGATTTTTTTATTTTTATAAAATATAAAACTGATTGTATATTATAATACATAATTTTTCCGTTATTGTATTTACTTTTTTTATTATATAATTGTATAGAATTATAAAACCAGAATTTTGTACCATTCATTTCAAATTTAAGATAGTATAATTTTTTTTAAGGGTAGTTTAGATTTTGCATAACTTTTAGTATTCGAGCAGAGGAAATATGTCTCTTTGTCATGTTTATGGAATGAAATATTTATATAATGAAACGTATCTAAATTCTACGTCGCATTTTGTAGAAGATATTTCGTTACAGATGTATTGAAACTTATGAATGGTAAATTTACGTCATGTTAGAATAATTTTGTCTGTTCTGTATTTAATTTTTTTTTTTGGAAAGTAAGAGAAATTTCTGTTTTTTTAAATATTGAAAATATTTATGCATTTCTATAGGATTTGTTTTCTTTCTCTAGATTATTTAACGTTAATATAATTATTAAAAGAAGTTAAAAAATTATCGATAATTTTGTTTTTGATATTGAAAATATTACAATGTTCAGTGGACTTACATAGTTTATTTTTCTATAACACGTTTTAACCCATCATCGAGTCATGTGCTTTTTAATTTACTAACTCTATATTTTTTACTGCTCACCTTGTTTAGTGAATTTTTTTTTATTAGGTGTAAATTGAAAATTGCTTTATTTTCTAAAGATTACTTGAATTCAATTATTTGGAATTTTAGTTATATTTAATTATTTTGCATGAAGTACCACGATATTTATATAATCATTGTTACATAACACTTGTATCGATTTTAATTAAAATGCAGAGATTTTATATTATAAATATTTACATTTCAATTATAGAATTTTTTTTTTTGATAATAATTTTAATAAAAGATTAGTAAATTATTCATATTTTTCTTTAAATTTGGAAAAAAAAATTCTTTATATCGGGAAAATGATTTATTAGAATATTGAAAATTCAAAGAATCTCGAAGAAATTCGAAATTAGAAAAAAAAACTTAATTATTTAATTGCATTATATTTTCAAGTCTTTTTGAAAATGTGTCATTCTTATCGGATTAAATTTATATATTTTCAATTGCAAATAAGAATAGCAAAAAAAAAAAATTGATTGAAAATTGGCTTTTTAAGAATTAAACTTATCTCTCGATTTTTTGCAACATTAAATGAGACTTTTGACAATTTTCTTTTTTTAAAACTTCGCTTCTTTCTCGTTAAACTTTTAGATTTTGACCTTTTAAATAAAGTGAATTTTTCATTCAATCACTTTGAAAATAATGACTTCTTGTTATTTAATGATTTCTTCAGAATTTTGTAAATTCTTTTTCTATTTGCTTTTGAATTATTTTCTTGCTTAATAAAATGTGTTTTTGTGTCAAATTGATGATTTTGTGATTAATTTTTGTTTTTTTTTATTACAGCGGTCTTCCTCATTTAGCAGTGTCGAGCAGTACACCGCCGCCGCCCTCTTCGCCTTTAACAGTAAAAATTAAAAGCGAACCAATAAGTCCACCAAGAGATCCACACGGGTCAAGCGGTGGACCAAGCAATCCTAGTAATCTTCATCATACGAATTTGAGTATTGGTCCATCATCAAGTGGTCCACCGCCACATCATCTTTCACATACAGGTCCACAAACATTGAATTTAGTATCGAGTAGACCAAGCAGCAATCCACCGTCTCATTCGGGCAGTATAACGCCGACAAATTTACCATCGCCTGGTGGTGGTAATGTTGTTGGCGATCTCAGAAGTCACACGGGTGGCGGTGGTAATGGAGGAAATAGTTCAGACTATGAAAATGGACCACTTATGAAACGTTCAAGAATCACCGAGGGATGGGCGACTTAATATCGATTTAAGTATCGCAATCAATTCATCCCTTCGCACAATGGCGCATAGTGCTTGTGAGTTAAAGTTTTTTTTTCTATACTAAAAAAAAAAAGAAAGAAAAAAAATGAAAAGCAACAAAACATATATAAACTACAGACAAAAAAAGAACTCTTTTTGTCATTGTTGAAAATCTTGATTTTAAATCAGGAACTGAACTGTTTTAATGAAAGACGGCTTCAAAAATCTCAGAAACCGCTTTCTAGCCAACAGTGCGCAAAATCTGTTTATATTTTCAAACTAACACAGAATACATTTATTTGAAAAATAAAATGCGGTGCCATAATGTTGAAACTTTATATATATATATATATAAATATTATATATATATATTCGATTGATATATATATTTTCATGTATATAATAAGAGGTGTTGTTTGTATATATGTCTTGAATTGAGAAAGATTTAAACGAAGTGTTTACGCTTCACAGTGAATGACTTATGAAAAAAAAAAAAAAAGAAAAGGTATCGGCACAAAGTGTGTGAGAAATATTAGGACCACCATCGCAATTGTTGTTAAATGTGGTATAGTAGTCTTCAAAAAAAAAAAAGCAGCATGATCCGTTAATTTTAAATTAACCCTCTTCGTTGGACAGCAATCGAGTTTCAAATGTCTTCGCACCAATACTTTCGCACCGATTAATTATTAAACTTATTGAGATAAACAGAGAGACATTGTAGAAAATGAATTTCACTGAATCGATGATTTTAGAATTCCCCTTCGCGCACAATCGTATACTATATATATATGGTAGAGATTAAATTTTTTCCAACGCACGCAGGGAGTTTACCTTAACGGTTCAATGTCTGCTGGCACATGAAAAGTCGGCTGCTGTACTCAAAAATAAAAAAAATAAAATAAAATATTCACGATATTCTATATATGGAGAACAAGATTCGAAATTAATATATTGTGGAGTAACGTTAGATAGTTAGATAGAAACATTATTCTATAATCTTTATAAGATGGAAAACCGTTCACAAAAAAAAAAAACACTGGCGCATATTATCTATATTATAAAATCTATATTATCGTATATAAACATTTTCCACGAGTATTTTGCACATTTGATATTTAAAAAAAAAAAAAAAATACAATGTACGAAGAGACAATTTGCAATCCTTTTCGAAGCCTAAAAAAAACGAGGGCTCGTCTCACAAGTATGTGTCGCGATTCGAGAAAACTTTCCATACCGATTGATCGTCATTTGGATTTAAAAAAAAATATAAAGTTCGTACAAAAACAAAAGTACACCGAAAAGCGACATTCCTTTTTGACAAAGTCGTTTTTCAAATTTAAAAAAAAGCAAATTTCTAAACTCGAATAGCGACGTAACTTTTTTTAAGCATTCTTTCACTTTTTTGGAATGATATAAAGTTGTTTAGCGTCGTTGACGAGAAGAGACGTCTTTTTCTAAATGTTGATTGAATCGAAAGTATCGACCACGAGTACAAATTTTCTTTTCGAGCCTTTCACTGTATGCCTTACCTTGTTGTTGTCTGTAGACATATTCTCGTGAGAATTGCTCTCGTGCGTTTCAAAGATCGACGAGCGAATGTAATTTTAATTGTATTTTAAATGGAGTACACAGGTATTTAAATAAATAGTGCCTGGCACCATTCGTGGCCCTCCTATTATCGTAAATATCGTATATATAAATATATATATATATATGTATAAGAAGATTATATAAGCAAATCTTCAATTTTTTCTTTATGAAAAAAAGCATTATTATTGAAAAAAAAAAATGAATAATAAGAGAAAAAAAATATTTGAAAAAAAAAATTGTGAATCGCGGGACACACGAATAGTCGATATTTAATCTCCAATTTTTAAGATGATCACAAAGTGCAATCTCTTAGCCAACACAATTTTTTAATGAAAAAAAAGAAAAAAAAACAAGAAAGAAATATAAAGAAATTGTTATTTTTCATAAATGAAAATATGATGTTTAAATGTATCGAAAGGAAAGATATATATATGCCTCCTCTCTAATCGTGTAAATTTTACAATATCGCAAAGATACCAAATTTATTTTATTCGAAATCCTAGATTAAGGTCAAACACATACACACACACACAAACATTGTTTCATATTGTCATTGTAAAAAAAATCATTCGAAAAACTTCCATTTTTAGAAATTATTTTTTTATTAAAATTTAAAAAATTCTGTTTTTAAAAAAAGGGAATGTTTTTTAAAAAGAAATTTGTTTTTATAAAAAAGAATATTAATATCAAATGTACTGTATCTGTGTGTTTAAATATGTTGCAAAAAATTCTATTGAATATTATTTTTCAACATTTTTAAAAAATTTTATTATTTTTATTTTACAATATTTTTTGTACTAAATTTTTAAACGTCTTTTATGCTATTTTTCTAATGTTTGTTTTAAAACTCTTGAATTTATGAAAATTTAAAATACAGAAGTGTTAATATTTTTAAAATATCTCAAGATGTTTTTAAAAAAATTATTTTAGAATTGACTCTTATAAAGTTTTATTAAAAATAAACTTTAAAAGATTGTTTGCAAAAATCTGTTACAAAATTTTGAGAATTTAATAGAGAATTTTCACGTTTGAATTTATTTATTTTTTTTTTTTTTTGAAACTATTTCTTTTTAAATGTTTATTTCATGTGTAAATATAAATATAATTGAGTTAATATATAGATTTATGATTATTATCTAATAATAGTGGAGATGAGAATTTTTAAATAATTTTTAACTTTGTTAATTTATAAAAAAAAATTTAAATAATTCTAATTATTAAATTTATATTATTATAAATTTATATAACTGTTATTTGATAAAAGAGATGACGAAATGAAATTTACCAAATAATGTGAAAATATTTCTAGAAATGGAAATTTTCAAAAAGGAAGTTTTTCGAGTGTTTGTGAACAAATTTTTTTTTTATAAAAGTGATTGTGTATTTTTTATTTTTGTCATATGGCAAAGCGAGAAAGAAGCTACATAGGACAATCTATTGTGTCAGGAAAGTCGCACTTCTCACGAAAAATGATCGTCATTCGAATTTGTTCTGTGATTGAGTACTATACAAATTTTTAAAACTGTTGTCTCAAAGTACGATATTTTATTCGCAGTTTCACTTTCTCTCTCTCTCTCTTTCTATATCTCTCTTATAACTATGAATCAGGGTCACAATGTCCTCCGATATTATAATTGCGACGCGTGTACGTACTAGTGATATAAAGAAAATTGATAATTTCCTCAAGAGTAAGAAACTTTTTAAAAAGGAAATTCATTTCTCTGATATACCAGTGACTATATTAAAGCACATAACTTTTTAAAATATTATTCAATTCTATGATTTAAAAAAAAAAAAAATGTTTTGTTAAGCACCGACTCAGGAATGAAAGTCACTCTCTTCAGTGCAGATTGATTGCGAGATTTATATTACTATCCGACTTTACCACAAAATACAGTATATATATATGACGTACTAGCTAAATTTAGAATATCGCTTAATTTGTTAACTGTACGTGTCGCACATGCGTACATTGTAATGTATATTTTTAATATCGAGTATGTCTATAAGTGATACTTTGGTCAAGTTAAAGAAAAAATGATGTAACGAAGATTTTATATTTGTTCGACACAGCTGATGACCAAGGAACCAATTTTTCTTATATATAGAGAAATTAAATTTTTTTCTTTCCTTGAAATTTGTGAAACTGCCACAAAGAGAGTTTTTAGACAAAAATGTGAGAAGGTAGACTCACTGCAATCATGAAAATATCTATAATTGGCGTTGTTAAATTAGTTTTTAAAAAACAGCTTTTTTTTAGATATTAAATTTTAAAAAAACAGCTGAATTCAATTTTTTCTGATGAAAACTTAGTATGTACTGTTTTTTTAAGAAAAAAAAAGAAACCCAAAATAGCGGATTTTAAAATTACAAAAAAAAGAATTCGAGCTTTTGAAAAGAATGGTTCAATTTTCTTTTTTTTTAATGACTTGGTACTAAGTTTTTGTTCAGATAAATAAAAAGCAATTCGAATGCAATATTAAACTAAATCTTCCTCTACTAGATCTCGAATCAATTTGTTGTCTGTGAATCTTCATAAAGTGCAATTTTTTTTTTCTTGTTTATCCTGATGTTGGTCATACAGCTGATCTTGACGAATTTAAATTGCGCTTGCTTCTCAAAAAAAAAAAAGTGAGAAAAAAAGAAATAATTTCCTGTTAAAAGTGAGAAAATATCTCGTTTTTAATTTGCTCCCTCAAAAATTGTACAAATGAGAAAAGAAAATAGAAGAAAAATCCTCAAAATCAATATTACAAAAAAATATTTTCCATAAGTCAAATTACATAAAATCTCTAAATTTAAAAGAAAATTTGATTATCTCTTAAGATTTTTCATTCAGTAATTTTTTATTTGATCAAAGAAATTTCTTTTAATTTTATTTAATATCAATTAATAATTTTGAGGGTGCAAATTCGAAAATTTGAGATGTTTGTGAAAAAACAGGTGAAGCCATAATAACTGTAAGCGAATGGTCAGTTGTACTATTGTTTCGGGTAGCGAAACTAAAAAAAAAAATCATAGGGTATATTATAAAATACGGAAATAAGTTAGCTCTTAGCGAGCTAAAACGCGCAATGATTGTTGATAAGTGAATTGCAATGCACGGCACAAGTACAGACCATGTAGCGATGTAAAATGTATGTACTAGCCACAACTGTTGTCACCACAAAAAAAAAATAAATAAATAAATAAGCGATTATTAAGTTATGCAGGTTTAAGTACCGAACATATCTGTAAAGCCAGGTAGCATCACGTTTCAGAAAAAATATAAATTAAGAATATCGCCATTTTTAGCGTTACTGTTATAACACAACTGTGCATTTTAAAACTAAAAAAAAAGAAAAAAAATAATGGGACGCTTCGTCAATAATTTCAAAATCATTTTCACGTAACGTCCAAACGTCAAATAATATAATAAGTGGGCTGATGAAAATAAATTAGTTTTGAAATGCACCTTTGAAGAACGAAGAGTTTATTAACCGAGAGAATTTTTAGCGTGTTACGAAAATATTTGACCTTTTTTTTTCTTTGTACGATAAAGTTTATTAGAAGGTTGTTTAAACATGTTTTTTGCGCGAAATTGTGTATTTTAGTGTTAAGATGGATTTTTAATTACTATTATATTGCAAAGTGTATAAATTTTTAATAGAATTATGTATGTGTACGTATATATATACACACACATTAAACAAGAATATATAACACATAATGACCACTGAAAAAAAGATACATGTGAAAAAAAATTATATTTGAAAAAAAATTACAGAAATAGAGAACAAATTTTGACATGCTTGTGTAAATACACGTATAGTATTCGGCATGTTTAAAAAAAAAAAATGTGAGTATGTATATATAACAAGTAATACATAATGTTGTAGGAGTAACATGTTAAAGAGTAGTCGTGCGTTAAATTAGATCTTAAATCCAAGAAAAAAAAAAGAAAGTAATACTTATAGTGCCATTGTAACTGACTAATGATTAAAAAAAAAAATACCAGTTTATGTTTTAAGTAGTACCTTAGAATGTTATTTGAGGAAAATAGTTGCGGTGTTGAAGACAAAGACTCGGTTTATGTTATTTTTTTTTCATGTTTACCAATCACAAGAACAGTCATTTCATATTATATATGATAAAAAAAAATTAGGTGCAATTGATGAAAAAAAAAAAAAAAATTATGATAAAGAAAAGTGTAAATTGGCAAATATATTATAATTGTGTATAATTGTAATGAACATCCTAAGAAAAAATCGCAACTCTTTATTTAAATACGTATCTCATTTTTGGTGCTCGATATACCCAGTTATTGTTATATTATTACTGATCTACATGACTATATTATCATATTGCCTATTATCGGTCAGTAAAATAATTTTTCGGAGTTAGTGATTATAAAGACGATGGTTATTTGATATCGCTATATATGTAAATCACTCAGATATACATATATGACCTTGTAAAACACATACACATTGTGGTTATATTTCAGTGTATCAGCATAATGATATAATTATTATGATGTTGCCCATAGAATACATTTTACTTGGTTTTTATATTCTGATTTATTTATTTAATTACCTTTTACCACATTTTAATTAGAGATCATCGACAAAAAAATTACACATAGATGGTTAAAAAATTAACAAGACAGTAAAAAATTGTGAAAAATGAAAATATAAAAAATTACCTACATAGAAATCTACCTTACCGACTGCTGGTAAAACAGTTTTTTTTTGAAAAATGAAAATATAAAAAATTACCTACATAGAAATCTACCTTACCGACTGATGGTAAAACAGTTTTTTGAAAAATGAAAATATAAAAATTACTTACATAGGAATCTACCTTACCGACTGATGGTAAAACAGTTTTTTGAAAAATGAAAATATAAAAAATTATCGACATAGAAATCTACTTAACCGACTGATGGTAAAACAGTTTTGAAAATTGATAAAAATCCGGAAAATGTTCTTTACCATCAGTCGGTAAGGTAGATTCCTATGTAGGTAATTTTTTATATTTTCATTTTTCAAAAAAACTGTTTTACCATCAGTCGGTAAGGTAGATTTCTATGTAGGTAATTTTTTTATTTTCATTTTTCAAAAAAAACTGTTTTACCAGCAGTCGGTAAGGTTTAACGCTTAATTCAATACAGTGAAACACACGTATATATAGGACTCTCATAATTCGGATTCCCGCTTACATCAGAATTTTTTCCAGTCCCTTGAAATCCGATATACCTGTGTTTCACTGTATCTTATACTGCCGCCCCAACAAGAATAACCGTATCTGCATTTAGGATGAGTCACCTACTTGCCACTGCCACTGCCACCAATAAGTGACTTAACCAAAATGTAGTTACTGCTACTCTTGTTGGGACGGCAGTATATCCTTGGGTATTTTTGTATTAATAATATAAAGACACTATTTTTTGTGTTGTGACATTTACTTTTTTTATTACACACAATTTATTGTATACAAAAATTTTTGCATCACACTTTTATATTTTCGTCAAAAAATATGAAGCATTAAAATATATAATATATAGATTTAAAATATTGACGATGACCACACTCGCAACGAAAGGGAAAAAAATAAAAAAAAGCATACGAGATTTTTGTTAGTGTTGCCCAAATGAACTTTATATTATTATTATTATCATAATTATTATAATTGATTAAAGTATCGAAAATAATTATGTCCAAGCTGCTCTATAATTGAAAATACCTTAAAAAAGATACAATTGTTATACTATAAATTTTTTTTCTTTTTTTTTTTATATTATTGGAACCACTTTAAAGCAGTGCTAGAATAAAAAATATTTTTTTCTTTATCGCAACACGCCAGAGATTGGATAAATGCATTTATATTTTCTAAATCCCCAATTTAGTTTCTTTTTCTTTCAAATATATATATCAATAGCATTAATTATTCCTTTTCATAATTCGAGGAGTAATTTATAATATAATAGTCGTTTAAGTTGAAAATAAGTAAACAAAATTCTAACAGGAACAATGATAATCATTTTGTTTTTTAACTTAATAATACGAGTCTTGAATCCTGTTTAATGTTCGGTGTAACTGATAAACACTTATTTTATCGCAATGAGTCAATATAAACCAAGGCAGAAAAATGATAAAATTAAGAAAAAAAAAAATTTGCGTTGTAAAATAATTTTGCAACTCAAAATCTAAGTACTTCGGAATAAAATCCGAAAATTGTATCTTTAAAAAAAAACCTCTTATCAAATCTCTTCTTATTTCTCACATTTTTTTTTTTGTACACTTCAAGTATTCTCTTGTTATTTGCACTCCAGGAATTACAGTCTGTATTATTTTACACACAATTCAAAACTCTTTTTTTCAAAGGATAACTTCAAAAGATAAATTTGTTTTCAAACCTTGGTGATTCTTAAACTCGTACAGCGTAAAATATTGTTACAAGCTTAGAAACTTTTTTTTGTTTTTCTTTAAAAATAATATTAAATTTTTGATATATCTCTTAAATTTCTATATAAAGATTATGCTCACATTAAAGAACAACGATCATCACCTTGTGGATCGCCCTGAAACAAAAACAAAATCATTTTCATTTTATTGTATTTGTGAATTTCTTCTCATTTTTTACGTACCCATCTCCATTATTTCCAGTTCAGAATAAGATTGTCAATAATTGAATTTTTTTCTTAAATTTAATTTTAAATTAATTAATTTCATTTTTAATTATATAGAAAAAGGATTTTTAAATTTTCAACCTTTTTCTGTTTGGAAAAACAATTTTTTGTTTGTTTTTTTGATTAGTTACAATAATAGTGAAAATTTCTAAAAATTCTAAAATTATTAAATTCGAATAATAATTTTTGCCGACTAAATGATATTCGTGTCACTTTATGACCTGCAGGCAGGCGAAAAGCTTATATAGATGTAAATGCAAAAATATTCGAATGTGTAACAAAATTCACAATGTCAATCAATTAAAATACAAAACAATCAATATTTTTCCATTAAAATATTGAAAATTCTAATAAATTTTTCATTAAATCAAATTCAATATAAAATTTAAAAAAATGATATGACAATAAATATTATAAATAATATATAATTCAATATGTGATATACTTAATTATCAGTTTGAAAATAATTGGTCAAATATAAACAATCTTCAAAAATTCTTACCAAAAATGATAAATTATTCATTTAACAAATGTTAATAGCGTGGTAATAAATTTCTATTTTTTTTAGTGTTTGCCAACCTGCATAATATTTAAAAAGACAAGCACGCCAAAAAGACAACACATAAGTAATTATTATTTTCAGAAGATATTTTCTTTTATTGTTCGAAAGACAATGTGGTTAAGTGGAGAAATTCCCGATTTCAATGTAAGTATTCAACAACCTCGATAAACACACATTTTTTTTCATTTTAGTAAAGCGAAAGCGGAAAAATGTGCAATGTGAATTTGAGAAGGATTCTGCTGTACTAAAGAAGAATTTACATCAACAACAATAAAAACATTGCTATTTATGAAAGTTCTTCTTTAATATGACAAAATTATACAACATAAAAAAGCAAAATAAAATTTTGAAAACAGCACTTTTTTTTTAAAAAAAAGGCAATAATTCTAGTATGATATGCAAAATGATTGGAATGTACATCTGATAGATTTAGGTACAACTTACATAGGCTGACCATTTGAGCCGTGTGCCTTCTCACTTATTATGGGTAGAGATAAGATGTTCTCTATAGAACAAGAAGTGGACATTGGTTTACAGAAAAAAAAATCTACATGTATTTATTTTAATATTAACTTTTTAATTAATAATTTTTAAATAAGAAAAATTTTTAAAAACATTACTTTTGATAATTTTACATTTTTGGCAACTTTTAAAACATTAAACATTTTAAAAATTCAGGTGTTTAATATCACACAATAATCGAAAAAAATTAAATATTCTACAAAGTTAGATATCAATATATTTTTAAAAATCTTTTTCCGATCAAGAAAAATCAATTTCTCCTTGATTGTGCAACAGTTAAATGTGAAAAAATGCGAGATGAATACGATAAAAAAATAAATATTTTTAGTTTATTGAAAAAGAAAAATAAATTAAGTGAAATTAAAACAAAAACTTGCAATCAAGCCGACAAATTGGACTCTTCTGTGTCAAAAATATCCACATTGTCTTCTAAAAATAACATTTTCCAATGTTCTTTTTTTTTAAATTTTCAATCAAGTCATTACTTGCTTTTTAAGCTTTTCTACTTTTCAACGAATAAAATTGCCATTGAATTTTTTTTTAATTTTTAAAATAAACATATTTTCTTACCTGCTGATGATGAAAATCCTCAGATCCTCTGAAACCAAGACTCTCCCTATGTCGAGACAAAGTGGTGGACAAGTGTTGCCTTTTACGTTCAGACGTTGCCATTTCCTGCAAAATAAAAAGAATTATAAATAAAAAGAAAGCTAGAAATATTTTTTATATTTTTGTATCATATTTTTTTTTTTTTTTGTTAATTGAAATAATAAATATAAAAATTTGTTTTAATCAAAACATACTTCTCCTTCGTTGTTTAAGAGAACAGTTGTCATATTATCTGCGGTGAACCATTTTTGACTTTTCATAACAATATTGGATGGAGGTTCATGAGTGGCACCAACATCTGACGACCAGACCATTACATTTGCACCACTATCGACTTTTGCAGTCCTGTGGAATTTGAAAATTGTTTCCAAATTTCCAGCTTTACGAATGATTTGCCATCCACTCAAAACTAATTCCTGCAATAGAAACAAATTAATTTATTGTAATAAATATAAAAATAATATGTCACATGTCCTTTTACTTTCTCTAAACATAGTATATTTTTCAATATTTATATAGAAAAGAAAAATCAAAAAAAGTAATGATTATCAAATTTCTTTCAAATTTTTCTAAAAATTGTATATATTTTTGATTTTCTCTGAAGAAGAAAATTACCTTGGCTCCTTTGTTCGTTAATTTGACATAACGACCCTGTGGATCGGCTTCTGTGATTTCCATGTCTCCTCTCGCTGTTCCTGAAACACTGTAATCACTGCTGCTACGTTCTTCACTTTCTTCCAAAAGTGTACGCTTTCGTTTTCCACCTCGAATTGGAGTATGACGCGATGGAGTTGTTCTGCCACCGGTTAATGTTGAACTAGGAGTTGGCATCGGTGTAATGTTTAATCTGTGAAATATTAACAATTTTTTAAAAAAAATTTTTGAATTAATCATATTGTTTATTATAATATTATTATCATCATTATTTCCTTATATTTACCTTGCCTCTTCAGACTCAAGAAGCTTTCTGTATGCTGCAATTTCCAAATCAAGTGCAATCTTAATATCCATAAGATCTTGATATTCTTGCAAATGTGTGGCCATTTCATCACGCATTCGAGACAAATCTCCCTCGAGATTAGCCAAATCTTCGGCGTGACGAGCTCTCTCATTCTCGCGCAGAGTTTCTGACTCTCTGTGAAAATAAATATTGTATTATTTTTATATAATTACTTTATTTTTACTTTTAATAATTTTTTGAATTTTTCGATTTTAAATTATGAAAATTGTCTTACCTGATTTTTGCATTAAGAGCATTATTAAGAGTTTCTAGTTCACTAATTTTTTGATTCAATCCATCAATTCGAGTACGAGTTTGACGAAGTTCCTCAACTGCAAGTGTAGCTGCACCGCTGTTTCTTTGTGCATGAGATGTCAAATTTTTAATCTTACTCTCGTACAACAACTCAATTTCTTCGCGATTAGTACGCATTTGAGCTTCATATTGATCACGCAATTCTTGTAGAGATTGTTGCATTTTTGCTTCATATTGCTCAGCAAGACGTCCATCAATTTCTGATATTTCAACCTAAAAGAAATTAAAATTCTTTAATTTTAGATTTCATTTATTTTGTTGCATAAATTTTAGTTATTTTATTTTTGTATGAAAAAAAAACTTACCTGGCGACGTGTACGTGTCTCTGTTAATTCTTGTTGGAAAACTTGATCCTTAAAACTATTTTCCTCCTTAAGACTTTGAATATGATTTTCTAGATCAATTCGCTGTAAAGTTTCTTCCTCAAGACTTTTTCGACAATCATCTAATAATGTTTGTAGTCTCTCATTTTCCTTTTCCAATTCTCTTACCCTTTCGGTAAGTTTCTTACGATCAGCTTGCGATTGATTGAATTGTGCTTGTAAATCACCACAACGGGATTCATAAATTGTAGCATTTCTTTCAGCAATTTGTAAATCTTTTGTCTTCTTATCTAATCTACAAAGAAAAAATAATTTATTAATTATTAATTAATAATTATGATTATGATTTGAAAGTTTCAATTACAGTCATTTTTGCTATAAATAACATTAATTAAAAAATTCAAAATAAACCATTAATTTTTGTATATTACTTTCAAAAATCATCATTATTAAGATCTCTTAAAATTTTTAACTTAAAAATAAATTATATATTTTTAGGTGAATTTTCAACTTGGGTCTAGGTCTAAGTTTTAATAAGTTTTAAAGAGTTTTTCAAGCGAAGCAGGAAGGCGTGGCACGCATCACCCTATACTCAAAATGTGATCACTGAACTCAAACCTTCCCTTTACTGTATATTATAAGTCGCCTTTAGTTTCACTAGTCCAACAGTTTATGTTACTTTTTTTTAATGGAACACATGTTTCAAAAATAAACATCCATTTTAAAATTCTCCATGTTATTAAAAAGAATTTACAATAATAAAAAAATATTATTATAATTTACCTACACCTATATCTTTCTAAAATTCCTGATTACCAAGATTCCGGAATTTAATCTTAATCGATAACGATATATACAGTTAAGTGACGTTTTTAGAATGTAAAAAAATACTCTAAATGCCGTTATATACATCAAAATGGGAAAATGAATAAAAAATATTTTTTTTTTGTTTATTAATCAAATTTAAATTTCTGTTTTAAATCATAAAAAAGATTTGAATTTAAAAAAACGGCTGTTTTCAAAGTTTTAGAAAAAGAAAAAACTTTACTGCAATAAGGAAATTAAATCTAGAAATGCAAGGATATAAAATAAAGCAGGTAAACGCAGATTTTTTTCTCAAATTGTTTATCAAGGAGAAAAAAAGTGACATCATAGTAGTTGATAATATAAATTTTTGCTGATTCTGTCTCGTTATCCTTGGCCTACTGTCTTTTACTCCAAGCATCAGATATTCCTAATTCATAGTCTTGATTTATTTATTTTTCTCTTATTTAGAAGAAGAATAGTATTGACAATTCGTTAAATTTTCAGAGAAGGAAATCGTAAATAGAAAAAAGAATCTTTTATGTAATAAATTCAGGTATAGAAAAGCACGCAACTTTCTCAATCTTTTTGAATGAAGATGACCTTTTATTCAATTTTTCATGGGATACAGCCAACTATTGGTCCTACACTAATCTTATGTATTTCTTGTTCCTATTTTCAGCTGCTCGACGACCCACATTCACAATTTTTTAATTCTCGCGTGAATCTCAAAGAAGCATTTCATCTTTCTGTTTCTTTATATCATTGTTGTTTTTCAAAAAAAATTAATATTTTAAATGAATTTTTTTTAATAATTTTTAATTCAAAAGAAATTCAAATATTTTATATAATAAGCAGTTAATTCTATCGATTTGCGAATCTAAATGTTATACGGGGTTTTAATCATTTCGCTTTGCGGCAATTGAAACAGGAAAAGATATAGAAAGAAAGGAGAGAATGTAGGCGAGTTATCTCAGTAGGGGAGTTTATTGGCCAACGGACATTTTGCACAATTATAGTACCAACATATGTGTTGATCTAACGTGCAATGTCAAGAGCATGATAGTGATACTTTAATAATTACATTTTTTCAATTTTAAGATATGAATTTCAAAAATTTTCATTCACTTTTAATTGGGACAAAATTAAAGAAATTCTTCTTAATTGTGTAATTTACAAAATCTCGGAAAAGAATTAATTACAAGTCTAATTAAACTAATTATAAAACTAAGAATTTGTTTTCGATAAAAAAATGTATTATGAAAATATGAGGAAAGACGTGTTCAATAAAAATTTCAGTTCTATAAATTAAAAACTACAAAGTCCATCTAATATATAACTTCGACCTTCGTTGAAATTTGATTTTTTTTCTCCATTTTAGCTAAACAAGTTTATTGACCTTTGATTAACATTGAAGAAACCAATTAAATCCCACGAATGACATATAAATTACAACAAATTATAAACGAAATACTATTTTTATTACTATAAAAATTTCGTTTATTTAGCAAGCATATTTTTTTTTTAGAAAAAAATTATAAACTACGAAACATATGATTGACCTTTAAAAAAATGTCATTGAAAATTTTCGGCTATTCGTTCCTAATTATAAAGAGGGGAAACTTCCCTCGCATTCCAGAATTTACGATTGAGTAATCATTCCCTATATTCAGATATGATTACACCTCTCATGTCTCATGTAAAGACATACAAGATGCTTGGTAAATATTTGCATGGAGGATACAAATTCATAATCTTGCGTTACCACTATCTCACGACTATAATTTTACAAAAAAAACACTTGACCATTAAACTTTGAATAATACAAAATAATTATTTAAAAATTAAAAAGTATAAATAATCGAAAAAAAAATTTATCTATTATTTTCCATGAAATTTAAATTTACTGCTACAAAAGTGAATCATTTCTTAATTTAAAATATAAAGCCGTGAGTAAAATTAAAAAATTATTATTTCTCACGAATTTTAAATTATCGGCAAATATATATATTTGCACGTGTGAGGAGTAATTGCAATTTCGATGCATGCCGGTGAAATTCTCAAGTTTATTTCTTGTGAATTAAAAATTGAGTCAATGTTTTTAAGTCAGGTGATGTTTTAAGGGGCTGACATCATCGTAAGTCGTGACGCAATCGTAGTAACGTCATGTCTGATTTGGACACACAACCAAAGCAGACCGACCGGCTTTTTTTTTTTTTTAATGCCGGACATTGATTGCTCGATGTTTAACGCTAAGTCGTTAATTTTCTATATTGATTTTAATCACTTCCAAAATTAACTCTCGCACTATAGTTACGTCATTATAACTATTTTCTTTTTTTTGAAAATATGCTTAGAATCATAACAAAAATTCAGATAAGATAAATGAATCAATGTCAATATTAAGATTTTCAAGTAAACAGTATTTCGATAACTGAATGAAAAATAAATAATTCACATATTAGGGGGGGGAATGATCATCAATCATTTTGAAGTAGGTGTGCATGACACCTTCAAATTTCTCGCGTAAACTTTCTCCTTTGTTCCTGTCTTCCTACGCAAGGTGCAATGAATATTGGCGATATTTTATATGATCAATTTAAAATTAGTAAAAAAATAAATTATTTTGAAAACAATTATTCAAAAAATTTTTAGTGATGAAATAAATTAAATATGGGTAGTTTTTTTTTTGTCTATTAGGACATGAGAAACTATTGATCCAACTGGAATTAATTTTGTATTGCTAATCCTTCAACTAGGACTCTACCTGTTCACTTGACCTACTTGAATTTCTATTTAATTTTCAGTTGCACAAAGGACATAAAACTAAATACCAAAAGATAAAAGTGAATGCCGGTTATGACTGCAATATTTATTTCATTGTCAGCAACATACCTGTTTCAAATATACATATACGAAACAAACTGTTTTTATTGGTCTGACTAAAGGTGGATAATAAGGATAATGAGTTTCGATTCCTAAGAAGCTAAAAAGGTAAATGATATACAGAATTTTGAAGAAAATGAAATGTGTTAGAAATCTCACTGGAAAACTTTATCTATTCTATACATACTTTTCATATTTACTATTTTTCATAATTGTAATTTCGAGACTTTGAGCGTATATAAAAATTAATTAATTTGAAAAAATTACTATTTGATAGTTTAAATTTTATAAATGATCAATTAGGAAAAAAAAATTGATAAAAACAAGCAGAATTGAAAATCAATGTTTGAAAAAAAAAATATACACGAGGCAATTCTTTTTTTTGTTTACAAACATGTGAAAAAATTCGACCTTGTCTCTTTAATACACTGAAATTAGTAAATGAAAAATATGAATTTTTTTTTTTGAAGTCATTTCTTTTTATAAGAGAAAAAGAAATTCGTTTGATGAATCACTTTCGTAATATCAACTAAATATAGAATTTATGACGATGCTACTATGTTTAAAATGAAAAAGCAACTTCATCAAATTCACAATTTTAAATTAAACATTCGTGTTTTGTTATGTTCAAAATATAAATTAATTTCGAGAAAAATAAAAATACAAAGAAACACAATTATTAATCAATTTAGTAGTTATTTTTCTAAATAAATATATATGTAATTTAAGGGGAAGGAAAAACTTACTTAGCCTTGAGATCCTCATTATCATCCCAAAGACGTTTGGTGTCAATTTCAAGTTTTGCTCTTTCTCTAGCAGTGTCGTCTAATAATTTTCTAGCATCTGATAATTCATGCTCGTACATAGATTTAATATTAGAGACTTCCCGCGTGACAGTTTCCTGTGATGTTTGAACTTCTCTTGTGAGCCGGGAATTTTCAGTCTCAAGATGACGAACTTTATCAATGTAACAGGCAAGACGATCATTGAGATTTTGTAAATCATGTTTCTCTTGAAGTCTTGAATAACGTGTTGGACTTAATGGACTTCCAGGACGTCGTGTACCAATTGGCGTCGATGTACTTGGCATGGGCGTTTGCTGAGAGGTAGCGCTCGAGGAAGTCACCGATGTTTTCTTACTTGCTTTAGTTGACATTTTTTTTTTCTTTTATTGACTAGTACTTACTAGTTTTACAATCACTATTTTAAAAGTTCGTTTCAAATTGATATTCAATCACCTTTTCAACATGAGACGATCATTCACACTTAGTCACTGCGTCAAACTTTTTTTTTGTTTCGAGTTAGAACGCGCACGGGAACTGTCTTGTGTTTTATAAATCTCTTTCTCGACCAAGAGACGAGTAACGGAAAAAGAAATGACGCCGGACGCCGGCTTCCTTTTTAGCACTGTTGCCAACGTTTGAAATTTTTTCTGGTTAATTCATCATGTCCCTAGATCACATTTTCTTCTTGGCAAAATCAAAGGCACTTTTATAAAATTTAGCAAAAGTTGAATTAATTACGAAGAATGAGTGCAATTTAAAGAAATTTCTTGTAGGTGAAAAATTTGTTTTTTTTGGTGATAAGAAGGTTATTTCTAGGAAATTTCAAACTAGCCATCTTTGTTCTAGATTTAGCGGGAAATTTAAACTAAACTTTTATCTAATGTTGGTAAAGACATTTATATTTAAAGAGAAACATTAATTTTTCCCTGTTAACCATGAATGATTAACTAATTGATTTGCTGTAAATCTTTTTTGTGGATCTACCTTCAATAAACCTTTTATTACCTCCTTACCTAAAAAAAATTAAAATATTTATCCAAAATTCAGATTTTATAAAAAATTCTTAAAATAATTATAATTAAAAATGATACTTACATTTATCAGAAACATGACTGATAATATCTTCATTATATTTACTTTTTCCTGATTTTATATTAAGTGCAGAATTTGTAGCAGCTGAATAAGGAAAAGCTTCCTTGACAGTTAATAAATAATACAAAATACATCCAATACTCCAAATATCACAGCTTTCGTTATATTTTTCCAATGCAACAATTTCCGGTGCAGCGTAAGGAAGTGAGAAGAATTTATATTTCATTGGTTGACATTCATTTTTATTAACTGATAGACCAAAATCTATTATTTTAATTAGTGCATCATCATTTATGGAATGTGAAAAAATTAAATTCTCAGGTTTAATATCACGATGTACAATATCTTTAGAATGTAAATATTGTACAGCTGAACTCAATTGTTTAATTATTTTCTTCGATTGTTCCTCATTAAATGGTTTATTTTCTAATACATCAAATAAATCACCACCTGTTAATAATTCCATTACTAAATATTTACTATCATCACAGTCTATAAAGGCACCTATAAATTCAACAATATTTAGATGACCCTGGGCTTTTTTTAAAAAATATATCTCTTCTGGATCGTAATTATCTTCGTTGATTATTTTCACAGCATATTCTTTACGTGTTTTTTTGTCAAGACATTTTCGACAGGTGGAAAAATTTCCTGTTTTCATGACAAATTTTTCCTTTGGTACTAATTCGTAAAATTCTAAAAAATCTTCTGTTATTTCAATATTTTTTATACTTTTATCACACATTGTCACAGCCATAAAATATTTAATCTGAAAAAAAGACGTAATTTACAAACAAATCAAACATTATACAAATTTTGTTTATAAAATAGTCAACCTAACCTATATAATAATACTCACAAAAATTAGTATTGCTTTAAAATATTGTAACAAATTCACAAAATATAATGGTAAAATTTAACTTCAATTACTGTTTACTACAGAATATTGAATAATAATGAGAAAAAGTATAGAAATATCCTAAAATCGATATTAGTCATACTTTCAAGGTTAAAAGATATTGTATATACATTAACTCAAATTAGAAGAGAAATATCTAAATGAAATCATTGCATCGATATTTGATTTCTTTTTTTATAATAATTTTACATTATACAGTTTAATATATGAATTTTATTATATTTAATTTGTGAATATTATTACTTTAAATATAAAAGGGTTAATGATTTTTCATGCAATTATTTGTGTTGGCAATTATGATATCAGTGACGCCAATCTTGCACATGCTATTGGAAAGATTTTCTATTGGTTGAATTAAGCGTGCTTCTTTAAAATTTCCCGTATTGATTGGAGCATTTTAAAAAAAACGCGCTAATATTGACCAATGAGACAACTTTCAAAGTAAGATTATGCGCAGTTTATTAAACTCTCTCTTTCTCAAGTTGGCATCACTGTTGGAATTAAAGTTTACACAAAAAATGGCGAATGACAGAAGTGAGGTTATGTTTAATTAAAAACGCTACAGAATCATTCTAATTATTGACAAAAAAGTATTTTTTCACAGTAAAAGTGTTATAAAAGTAATAAGAAAAATTGGTAAGTATATTTCTTATGCTTCGCGCAGAAAAAAGTAATATATTTCACATTAATTTTTGTGTATAAAATTTCAGAGTATTACTCACAAAAATGTCAGATTTAATTGTTTACACAATTATATATTTGAGAATTGTGACTGTATAATTGTTAGTTTACTCTGAAATACTTTCAAAATAATTGTGTATTTATAATTTTTTTTTAAATTAAAAATGTTATAACGATATATATATTATATTGTTACTCAACAATTAGTTTTTTTTATAATAAATAAAGATATCACATATCTATTAGTCAACTACTTTTATAACTAATTTAGGAGTATATTATGTAATTTTTCAATAGCGAAACAAATTTAATTGAATATTGTTAAACTTTCAGAATATCATTGTCATTAGTTCTACAAAATCAAGAAAAAATGGCTCTTCGAACTTATGGTGATAAGCCTATAAGCTTTCAAGTCGAGGAAAATGGAGAATATTATTGCATTGGTTCCGAAGTGGGAAATTATTTACGACTATTTCGAGGGTCATTATATAAACGCTATCCTGGCATGTTTAGAAGATCAATTACAAATGATGAACGAAAAAAATTAGTAGAACTTGGTTTAAGTCAACATGTTCTTGCGTCTAGTGTTTCTCTTTTGAGAGCAAGCGAAGTTGAGGATATAATTGAGGGAAATGATGAAAAATATAAAGCCGTTTCTGTTCATTCATCAGAACCGCCTGCACCGCGAGAAGGAAAATCTAAAAAATCAATGGCATGGGTTCCCAGTTTACCAAATAGTTCACATTTGGATGCTGTTCCACAAGCTACACCTATCAATCGCAATCGAGTGCATAATAAAAAAGTTCGCACTTTTCCGCTATGGTCAGTTTCTAAAAATTTCTTTACATAAACAATGATTTATAATTTTTTTTTATAAATAAGTTATTTAATATTCATAAAATATTTCTTACAGTTTTGATGACACAGATCCATCAGCTAATTTAGAGAACGCAGCCCAGCAGGAAATGCTTGTTCCAATTCGTTTAGATATGGAAATTGAGGGGCAAAAATTGCGCGATACTTTCACGTGGAATAAAAATGGTAAATTTCAATTTTAGAGATACAAACTCACGATTATGAAATAAGATTTCAATAACTAGTAAAAATTATTTAATTCTAATTTTTTTTTGTTAATTTAATTACAGAGAGTTTAATAACACCAGAACAATTTGCTGAGGTTTTGTGCGACGATTTGGACCTTAATCCATTGACTTTCGTTCCTGCGATCGCACAAGCGATAAGACAACAAATAGACGCCTTCCCTCAGGAGATAATATTAGAAGATCAATGCGATCAGAGAGTTATTATTAAATTAAATATTCACGTTGGAAATACATCGTTAGTCGATCAAGTTGAATGGGATATGTCAGAAAAAGAGAATAATCCGGAAAAATTTGCAATGAAACTTTGTGCTGAACTTGGACTTGGCGGAGAATTCGTTACTGCCATCGCTTACAGGTAGAAAATTAAATTTTTTTTATAATTATTGTTGAAAAATTTCTGAATTAATTTTCTTTTCGCACACACAGTGTACGAGGACAATTGTCCTGGCATCAGAGGACGTATGCATTTTCAGAAGCTCCACTACCAACGGTTGAAGTTCCTTTTAGATCACCATCAGAAGCTGATCAATGGGCTCCATTCTTGGAGACATTGACAGATGCAGAAATGGAGAAGAAAATACGAGATCAAGATCGAAATACACGGTAAATAAAATATCAAATTTCAAATATAAAATATAGAAATTTTATAAAAAAAAAAAAAATTTCTACTCCGATAAATTTTTGAAACTAATTTACTAATTTTATGAATTTTTTCTTTCAGACGAATGCGACGGTTGGCTAATACTACACCTGTATGGTAAAATGATATACATTTAAATAAATTACAATTCAATGATTAAGTTTATATAAAATTACTTCGTAATTATCTATTGATTAAAAGGAATTGTAAGTTTTTACGGTTTGTGTAAGTATCTAACAATTTTTTTTTATGTAAAGAAAGTCATTTGAAAATAAATCATCTTCAACTAACACTGCATGAAAATTTTCTATTCTTACCTATTCGAAAAATTTATATTCCTTTAAATGAAGAAAAATCCTTTTAAATCTAAGTTTTGAATTTATGACTCAATAAAAATAAAACTTTTTACGACCCTTTTAGAAGTGGAGAAACTTAATGAGATTTTCTAAACCGAATGTTTGAAATTAGAATTTTCCTGGTTTTTTATCTTTACTATTAAGATTATTTAAACGAGTGAAATTTTTTAAAAGAATGGAAATTGTTTAAAGTTCCTTTAGTATCTAATTTTGGAGATAATGCAATAGAATTAAATTAAATGTAATTACAAAAATTAAATATATATTAATAATTCGGGAGAAAAAACAAAAACACTCCGAATATTTACAATAATGAAAACAATGAAAAATATATTAAATAAAAATAACTAAAACTTAAAAAAAATGAACAAATTTTGTTGTATTAGAAAATAAAAAAAATAAATTGAAAAATATTACAAAAAAGTAAAGAAAAAAAAAAGTTACATAAAAGAAAAGTGAGTGAATATTTGTCACACACTGTAGATTTATATTGATAGGAAATGAAATTAATTTTAAACAACTTCATGTGAACTTTTTGCCAGCTTATTGTATATGAATTTCGCGTAAATTTGTGAATGGTGAATTCCTTGACCCCCGAGACCGGACAGCTTGTGAATAGTCAACAGTATTAAAGACAACTTGATAATAAAGAGGAAATTGCGGTAGGGGACATCGTTCTATTCACATGAGACAAGAACACGATTCTCAACGAGCGGCACAGTGTGCGATTCAGTTCTGTTCAGTTCTAAACGAGCGGTTTAAGGGAAAGTATCGTCGGGGAACTATTTTTTTTTTTTTTGGTAAGAAAAAATAAAAATGGATTCAATTTCACTAATACGTGAGTGTATGCTATCTAAAGGACGAGTACTTCCTGGTAATCCTTTTATTACAAGACCCTGGCTCGAGGATAAAGCATTAGCGGCAACACCCAGTGGAAACGTGGGTGTTAAAGGAATCATTGCTGGTAAATTTATTATTTTTCTTTTAAAAAGAAAACTAATTTTTAAAATTAAAATTTTCCCATGATTCAACAAAATTATAAATTAAAAAAAATGTTAAAAAAATAACCTTGACAGTGACCTCGTGCTTTTTTTAAAGGTTAGAATAAACCATGCGCATGACAGGTGTCAAAACGAAAACAAAATTTTCAATTTAAGCTCAATAACCGATTCAGTATATCAATTTTTGATAATAAAAAAAAGTATTTCATGCAATATTTATCATTTTTTTTATACTGACCTTTTTTTGATGTCGATAACACTTGACTTTTGATTAGAATTCTTGAAATTTTGAAAAATGACATAACCCCAAATTTCTTCATTTACGCCGGATTTCCGTTTTTCTGAAATAATAATTATTATTGCAAATTAGTTTTTACTGATGATATAAGTTTAAAGTCCAAGGTTGATATTTCTAACAAAATTACATATTTTAGCTTGGTAACAATCTTTGACACAATATTCAGAATGATAACAATTTTTTATACTCCGAAAAAGAATTCTGGAATTATATTAATTTTAGATTGAAATATTTTAATAATAAATAGTATAGTTAATGTTTATATAATTATTAATTAAATTAAGAAAAATATATTTGATTTAAATTTTAAATTTACAAAAAAAATTAACATTTTTTGAAAATTTTGGAGAATTTTTATCTCTATCTCGTCCGAGTTGATTTTATATTCGAGATGAAGGATTTCTCTATTATTAGACACGTTGAAGACAAGCTTCTTTATACTGGAATTTGCACATTAATTAAATCAATTTTTTAAGAACACTTTCGCCATTGACACGTTTCTGGAAAATTTGAGAAGGGACAAATTCTATTTATAAATAAAACTTGGCTAAAGATTTTCTTTTCCTGTATACGCATTCCTTTCTAAAATCGATTTCAAATAATATTTAAAATTTTCAATTTAGATTGTAAAAAATAGAAAATTCCAAACAATGGTAAATAAATTATTGTTCTTTTTAGAAAAAGAAATATGGAATTTGTTTGATTTTTAAATAATAAAAATTTTGATAAAAATTTCAGGTGGAATAACAGGTGGAATAGAAATTTGCATTACATATCCAACAGAATATGTGAAAACTCAATTACAGTTGGATGGCAAGGCGGGCGCAGGAAAAGAATATTCAGGAATATGGGATTGTGTTACAAAAACAGTGAAAAATCGAGGATTTTTTGGACTTTATCGTGGCCTATCAGTTTTACTTTATGGCTCTATTCCAAAATCAGCGGTTCGTTTTGGAGCATTTGAAAGTGTAAAACAGCAAATTGTTGATGAAAATGGACAACTCACTGCACAAAAACGACTTTTTGCTGGCCTCAGTGCAGGAATTTGCGAAGCTATTTTTGCAGTAACGCCCATGGAGACTGTTAAAGTAAAATTTATCAACGATCAAAGATCCGCGAATCCAAGATTCCGAGGATTTGTTCATGGAGTTGGCATTATTCTTCGTGAAAATGGTAAAGTTTTTTATTTCTTATATTTCAATTAATATCCTCGTCTTGAATCTAAAAATTAAAAATAATTAATTAAAATTAAATTTTTTTCAAGTGTTAAAAAATTGTAATTTATTAAATAATTAATTTTCAAATATTTTTTTAAGGTTTCAGAGGAGTGTATCAGGGTCTGGTACCCACAATGTTGAAACAAGGAAGTAATCAAGCGATTCGATTCTTCACGGTAGAAACTTTGAAGGAATGGTATAAGGGTGATGACAAGAACAAACCAGTACCAAAACTTGTTGTTGGTATTTTTGGAGCAATTGCAGGTGCTGCTTCTGTGTTTGGAAATACTCCCATTGATGTTGTAAAAACGAGAATGCAGGTAATTATTCACAAAATATTATTTTAAAAAATATTTTTGATCCACAAAATCGAAATTATTATTTTTTTTAAAAAACATTTTCATTTAAAATAAATAACTTAATTCCAGGGATTGGAAGCATCAAAATATAAAAACAGTTGGGATTGTACAGTACAAATTTGGAAGAAAGAAGGACCAATGGCCTTCTATAAAGGAACTGTTCCTAGACTCGGTCGAGTTTGTCTAGACGTTGCAATAACATTCATGATCTACGATTCGTTTATGGATCTTTTTAACAAAGTCTGGCCTTAAAAAAATGTCATGCCTTAATTTTAACTATTTGTCTAATGTTAGTAGAATTACTAACAAGAATAGAACAACTAGACAAAAGTGCAATTTTTCCCTGATATTCAGGTTCGTTAAAGAGGATAAAATACAAAAGAACTGATTATATATGAATTTGAAAAATATTTTAAAATTCGCACAAATGAAAAAAGAACAAAAAAAAACAATAAGTTATTCGAGACGTGATATTTTTGTGTTTGTATATTTTCTTTTTTTAAAATCAAGTTTTAAAACAAATTGAAGTTCCAGTTTGAAAATAAAAAATTATATTCAACGAAAAATTGTGGCATTTAGCCAGAATTTCAAGGACAAATAATGGCGTGTATATAGATATTTATATATATATTATGATCATGATACTATTGTATCGTCATCATAAAACAAAAGATAAGTAGAATTTTTTTTACGCTTAAAAAACAATATTTATCTTGTCTGTTGCGTTAGGATTAACACATATTGTTACAAGTATTTTTACATGTCTCTCTATATTAATTGACCAAAAATCTGTGAATGCCTTTGGTTTTCATATAATTTAAATATTTATTCATTAATTTCTGTAATATTCAGAAAGTTATTACTGATTTTATTAATAATTAATATTGTCATTATTTAACAATATTTATTATCAATTTCAACTAACCAAGATGTATTAATATCGCAACTAAACTATTTCATATTAAAATTAATATTGAAAAAAATCAAAGGCAACAATATAGAAAATTTCAACTTTAAATTTTTATCTAATTTCTGTGAAAATAATTATTACACGCATGATTATTTATTCTCAGTACAATGAATTGTTTCTTACAACGTTCATTCCAACGATCATTCCAATTAAAGTTTTTACTATAGAAATATTTTATACTCTAATATTGAATTCCGTTATATCAAGTTTTGTTAAACACTATAAGAACAGAATATATTTATAAAATTGAGTTCCACTAAAAAATTTTTATACATTATTCGTATAATAATTTGTAATCTTCAATTATTGTTATCACCGTTGTTACTAGTTTGATTATAATTTATTACTGTAATTTCAGAAAAATATATAAATTTGTGTGATCAATTGAATTATCTTTTATTCTCCTTTCTCTTTTCTAAAAATATTTTAAAGAAAGCAAATGATATTTTTAAAATATATGCTTTCTAAATAGGTAAATAAAAAAAATTGTAAATTGAATTTTTTGAAATTTAGAATTTTAAAAAATTTAAAGAAAATATCTCAATTTTCAACATTTTAATATCAATCTTCATGATTAGTATTTATTTTTAGAAATAGTTGAAATTTATTTTCAAATTCTATTTAAAGCTATGTAAAAATAAATATTGTATTAATGAAAAATCCACTAAAAAAACTAAATAATTTATAAATTTAAAATAATCTTTATGAAGAATAGAAAATATTAATTATATAGAAATATTTGTAATTGTAAAAAATTATGATTTAATATTTAAAAAAATACTGATAATGACATAGGGTACAAAAATATAACTCAATATAACGTATAACACAATTTAATATTATATACTCTAATGAAAATTTCACAAAAGGGATAAAATTACTGAAATTACTTTAAATCTTCTATACGAATGAAATATTACAGAGTAACGGAGTAATATTAATAATCATTAATAAAAGCACATGTAACTGTGGCTTTCGCAGTACAATACTGGAGTAAAAAGTGTAAGAAAGAAAATTTCTTTTTTTTTTTTGGAATGATCACAGAAATAAAAATTCTACGAAACATTTTATTCCTCTTGACACGCATTAAATTGCATGATAAATAAATTTTCTTTAGCTTCAATAATACTAATCATTCGAAATCGAATGAAATTTCGACTAGAGACAGATAATATTTAGTTTCGCAAAATATCATCACAATTTTCGACAAGTTCTATTATTATTAAATATTATTTTTCTTCCTATAAAAATTGTACCTTAGTATCTCATATCTCTACAAAAATACATATATACAAGGTATTTATTGTTATTAAATTCTATTAGACAAACTTCTCCGCGATTGTATATATCCTTTTTTCAAATAGAATAACGTAAAAAAAAAACATTTTCTTTATCTTCAAAAATAGTTTGCTCTACTTATTCTGATTTTTGCAAACTATAATTTTCATTATCTAATCTTTTGCTACATTTTTTTTTTTTAATAGAAAATGTGATGTGAATTAATTTCAAGACCACATCACGTTAAAAATGTCAAAAAGTGTATCGTAAATCATAAAAGTTATGGAAACTTCTAAACAAACTCTGCTGAGTCTTGGTATAGTTCCTTTGTAAAATGCTTTTGGTCCTTCAATTTTCCACATTTGAACTGCACAATCCCAAGCATTTTTATATTTTGCAGCTTCCAATCCCTTAAATTGGAAAATATAGTATATAACCTAGATCTCAATCTATTTTCTTTTTTTTTAATTTAAATTTACCTGTAATTAAATATCGCTAATTACCTGCATTCTCGTTTTTATAACGTCTATTGGAGTGTTTCCTAAAACCGAAACACCTCCCGCAAATGCACCAAAAAGACCAACTATGGGCTTAGGGGCTACTTTACTTTTATCATCTCCACTGTACCAATCTTTTAATGTTTCCACAACAAAAAAACGAATCGCTTGATTGCTTCCTTGTTTTATCATTGTTGGCACAAGTCCTTGATAAACACCTCTAAGACCTGGGGTAAATCTCATTTTTAAATATAAAATACAATTTAAATTAATACAATTTTACTAAAAGTTGTTAATATTAATTTACCAGTTTCTTTAATTATAGTGCTGATACCGTGAATAATTCCACGAAATCTTGGCTTTGGTGATCGTTGATCGTTGACAATTTTCACATTAATTGTATCTGCAGGTGTTACTACAAGAATAGCTTCACATAAACCAGCACTGAGACCAGCGAAAAATCTTTTTTCCGGTGAGAGTTTCCCTTCGCTATTAAGAAATTGTTTTTTAATTGACTCAAAGGCACCAAAACGAACCGATACTTTTGCAATAGCACCAGAAATAACAACAGTGAGTCCTCGATAAAGTCCAAAAAATCCACGATTATTTACAGTTTTTGTCACTACATCCCATATTCCTGAGTATTGTTTTCCCGCTCCTGCCTTTCCATCCAATTGCAATTGCATTTTAACATAATTAAATGGATATGTAATACACATCTCGATTCCACCTGTGAGTCCACCTAAATTTATAAAATATATTTTAATATTATTAATACTATTCCCACTGAATTCTTTGTTTTTTAACCAAAAAAAAAGGAAAATAAATGAACCAAAATATATCAAATTAAAAAAGAAGAAATTCTAAATAAAAGAGAAAATATCTAATTAGAAATTATACAAAAAAACAATTTGAATAATTAATAAAAAAATCTACGAAAAAAGGAATTTACAAATTATTTATGTAAAATAATGAAAATAAAATTAAAGGGAAGAAATTTTAATAAGAACTAAAAAAAACCAGCAAAATTATATATTAAACAAAATTTATGACTTATAATAAAATTAGAGATTAACCAAAAAAAAAACCTAGATAATTAAAAGTCTTAAAAAAAATGTAAACAAAAATTTGCCATGAGCATTTCCAAATATTTGACCAAAATTTGTACAGTATTATTTTTATTTTGAGATCAGCCATGCGCACTTTAACGATAATCTATATAAGAAGTGACGTAACAGTAAAATATTTTACTGACATTAGAATATTTACCGGCAATGATTCCTTTGATTCGTACATTATCTGTATTTGCATTAGCTGCTGAGTTATCATAAAGCCATGGTCGCAATATGAATGGATTGCCAGGAACTTTAGTTCTATGGGACAATATACATTCGTGTACTAGTTGGACTGGATCCATTTTACAATTACAGAACTTATTTCCATGTGACGCGACCCATTCGTTGAGCCGCCCGCTTCAAACTGACACAAAGTAATATTCCTCGAAACATATATTTTTAAAGGAAAAAAATACACCGTTTATCTTACACGAAAAAGAATAGAATTCCAAATTTATATTTCAAAAAATTTGGAAAATTAAAATAAAATTTATTTTCCATTTGAAATATATCAAAATTAGAAAAAAAAATTATAGAGAAAATGAATAATTAAATAAAACTTCTAAATATTTTTTTTTTTCTATCAATATAATAGCTATAAATGTAAAAAAATAGCATTTTTCCTATATAAAGGAAGAATACCTTCCATGGATTTTATTTTTGTAACAAATAATTTAAAACTATTTAAGTAATAGTTTTAATTTATTGAAAAAATAAATAAAATCAAGCAAAATTTATTTAAAATTCAGTTAAATAGTAACGATATAGAAGTTATCGATCTGTTATGCAATATATTACAAAACTGATATATAAAATTCTATATTATTTTCTTTATTGATAAGAAAATAAACAGATAACTTTTGTGATAAATTAAAAATATTAATTTAATTTGGTAATTTATCATTGAAATTAAATAATAAATTAATTGCTTACTAACTGTATATAGATGTTAGTTACCATCTAAGTCAATGATAAATTAACACATTTTCTTATCAACAAATGAATTTTTATGATTTAAATTCACTGATTATTTACGAAAAAATAGCATAAATGTTTCTCATATGATTTTTTCATTAATAAGATTAATTATTAAGTAAAATAAAAAATAATAATTAATATTATTGATATTTTAATTGATTTTGATAACTATAATAATGTTCAATGTTAACATTTTTTTGTTTGCAAAAAAACTTGTTAAAACAATTCGTTATAAATAAAAAAAATTTTGATTTTAAAAAGAACTGAATAATCTACCTCTTACTAGTTTCTTTTTAATCCCCATTTTTTTTCTTTAATGTATATCAAATTGTTTAAACAAATTAATAACAAACGAATTTTAACATCAATAATAATTATTACGACTCATATACTAAAATTTTAATTTTCTAAATATTTTTTTTCTAAGCCTTAATAAAAAATTAAAGGACAACTTTTTCCTCATTAAGGGGTAAAAAATTACTTTTTAACATTGGTGCAAAATTCAAATAACGAACGATTTTATCAATGAAAATAATAAAATTCATTAAAGTGGAGTAAAAAAAGTAAAAATTAAATGAAATCAAAATAAACCAAATGCAATGACATCTGAATTTCTCCGAGCCTGTGAGCGGGCAATATTTCAATTTGTTAATTAACATATGATCGAGGTGAAAGTAAAAAAAATTGCCAAACTGCAAATTTCTCTCATTCACCGTACACGGAATTCTCTCATAAAAATTGAAAATGCGTTTCACCTTTCTTTCTTTAATACTCTCTCGAGGCAAATTTCGAATTTCTTCGCTAATGGGTTAAGGTAATACCGGAAATTCAGAGATGGGCCTTATGAAAAAATAGTTGAGGGTCTTGGAGGGCCCTGAGGGTCACAAGCTGGGGGCCTTAATATCTGTGTATATGTGTGTGTGTGTATACGTTTGTGTGTGCGATGTTGTCCCCCCCACTCTGGGCCCAAGGGGGAACCTGGGGTCACATTCCAAGATGGCCGTGCCTCAGGAATGCAGTGGGTGCCTAAGACCGCCTGCCTCCCTCCTTTTTTATTAATCAATCCAATTTATCCGACCTTTTGAAAACAAACTCGCTGTTTTCGACCAACATCCTCATCCATCTTCAATAGGTGTGATTTCGCACTTCCGCGAAACATTTTTTTTTTTTTTTTAAATGCTAGTCAAGAATCACAGGTGTTGTGTGACTTATTTTTGTGAAAAAAGAAACAAAAAAATTAAAAACGAACCCAAGAAACAAGTGTCCGAAGAAAAACGGTCAAGTGTGTTGTGCGCTAGAAGATCAGAGGAAGAAGAAGAAGAATTCTGCTGATCCAAGTCCGGATCTTTATCTAATGGAACGGATGATGCCCAGTGAAAAGCATGCTACTTTCTCGTTTTAAACAATGTCTCATAGGGATATATCTGAGGTAATTGTCACCGGTCCTTCCACCATATTAGTAGTTCCAACGGTCTACATTCAATTTTTCCTTCCTTCCTTCTTTTCTTTTTTTTTTGAAAAAAAAACCGTTACGGATATCCGTACTTGAGTATATCTGAAAATAAAATTAAAATATATATCAATTTTGACAAAAATTTTGATTTTTTTAAAGTAAAATTGTAAATAGGTAAATTAATTTTTTAATGTAGATTTTATTTCTGTATCGCGGTTGCGAGCAAATCTCCATTAATTGATGAAGACAGTTATGTGATTTTTATTTTTTTACATTCTTGACCTCAGTGAAGATACGCTCCAATAATAATTACATTGAATCTCTCAGTTTCTTGAACAATTCATCACTTTTTGAGAATTTTATTTTATTTTTGACAAAAATAAAAATAAGCAAATTTTTTTATATTTCGATAACTTCAAATATAAACGAAAACTTTCTAAAATTTTTTTTTACCGTCTAATGTTTAGTAATTAAATTACTAATCAATAAAAATATGAAATGTTTAATCACAATTAATCAATTATTAAAAAATGTATAATTTTAATGATTTATTAAAAAATAAATAGCTTTTAAATTAATTTTTTTTAATTGAAAATAAATTTAATTTAAATTAAAAAATAAGAAATAATTTGAAATGATTTTCTCATAATTTTTGCTCCTCGATTAAAATTTGTAAAAGTGAAACATTACTATAATTTAAAAAAAAGTCTAATAATTATATTTTACACTATAAAAATCGAGAGTCGTAAACTCGTGAGTTTTATAAAAATAGTATCCATTATTTACTGCAATTTTCACAAAGTTACATAAATAAATTATCTCGAGTCAAATCATACATTTTAACGTGGTAAATACTTTATTTTTCAGACTCAGATCGATTAAATTCTATTTTTTAATTGAAATTCTGCAATTATTTCTATTTAATTTTTAATAATAAAATATAAATTAATTGTTGTAATCATTTCAAATTAATTAATTAAAATTAATTTACTTATCCATTTTTTACGTTTAAATATCAGTTCATGTTTACTTTCTCTTTATATAAAAATCATCTCATAAAAAATGTGCCTTTTTTTAAGAATATTAAATTTATATCCGAAATTCTTTTTTAATAATTTAAATCCTAATTATTCAAAATTAGCTTTAAAAAATTATTTTTTTCCAACGTATGAATATAATACGATTAGAGAAAGGCAGTAGATTAAAATTCAAAAATTATTTCTTTTATCCATATTAATAATAGAGATAAATGTAAATTCTATTCACAATTTTTTTTGCGGATGTTTTTGACAGCTGTATCTATTCGTAAAGAAAAAGGAAAAAAAAAATTAATAAAATTTTATAATTACATGAAAGGTCGAGCCCGAAGGTACGTCGGCCTTGGCCGCTGGATCTCGAGTGTTATTCCTGGAGACGGTTCGTCGTAGCAATGCAGCATGTCAAAACGGAGATTACGCTCTAGCTGCATCTCTTTACACGGAAGCTCTTGCCTTGGATCCCATTAGCCATGTTCTTTATTCAAATAGATCGGCGGCTCGTCTCAAAATGGGAATGTTTGCCTTGGCGTTACAAGATGCTGTTAGAGCCACGGAATTGAGTCCCGAATGGCCAAAGGTAAAATTCTCTCTTATTTCTTGAATGCACTTCAAATTTCAAGTTCTTCCCCTTGAATTCTAAAATATTTAAAATTATAATTAATTTTATTAATTGAGAGCGTTTATTATTATTAATTAGTAATTATTATAATGAAATAATATTTACAGGCTTACTATCGTCAAGGTGTGGCTCTTCAATGCTTGGGAAGACATGGAGAAGCTCTGGTTGCATTCAGTGTTGGATTGGCACGTGATCCATCAAATTGTCAATTGCTCTCGGGACTCGTGGAAGCTTCTTTAAAATCACCTCTTCGTGTTACATTGGAACCGACGTTTCAACAGCTTCGAGCAATGAAATTAGATGAATCTCCATTTGTTGTCATCTCTGTGGTTGGACAAGAACTTTTGGGTGCTGGTCAATATAGAGCAGCAGCTGGAGTTCTTGAAGCCGCCTTATCAATTGGATCTTGTAGTTTAAAATTACGAGGTTCAGTCTTCTCTGCACTTTCCAGTGCTTACTGGGCTCTAAATTCATTGGACAAAGCTATCAGTTATATGCAACAGGATCTTGGTAAAAATCAAAAATATTTACAAAATATTGCTAATATTTTCTAAAATTTATTAAAAAAAAATTTTTTTCAATCAGGAGTTGCAAGATCATTAGGCGATACGCAAGGTGAATGTCGAGCGCATGGAAATTTGGGATCGGCCTACTTCAGTAAAGGAAGTTATAAAGAAGCATTGACAGCTCATCGTTATCAATTGGTACTGGCAATGAAATGTAAAGATACGCAAGCAGCAGCTTCGGCATTAACGAGTCTTGGACATGTTTACACGGCAATTGGAGATTTACCAAATGCACTTGCTTCTCATAAGCAGTGTGTTCAACTTGTTAAACAAATGGGTGATCGTCTTCAAGAGGCAAGAGAAATTGGTAATGTTGGAGCTGTTTATCTAGCAATGGGCGAATTTGAAAGTGCAGTCGATTGTCATACACAACATTTGAGAATAGCCAGAAGACTCGGTGATCGAGTTGAAGAAGCCAGGGCTTTTAGTAATCTGGGATCATCACATCATTATCGGAGAAATTTTGGTCAGGCGATGGCTTATCATGAAAATGTACTTAGAATCGCTCAGGAACTCGGCGACAGGGCAATTGAAACTAGAGCCTACGCTGGTTTGGGACACGCTGCCAGATGTGCCGGTTAGTCACTAAAATAAGAAAAAATTTAAAAATTTTTTAAATAATTTAAATAATTGTAAAAAAAATATTTTTCAGGTGATTTAGCCCAAGCAAAACTTTGGCATCAACGACAATTGGATGTGGCACTGACGACAAAAGACAAAGTAGCAGAGGGAAGAGCTTGTAGTAATCTTGGAATTGTTTATCAACTTCTGGGAGAGCATGATGCGGCTCTTAAATTACATCAGGCACATCTTGGAATTGCCAGAAGTTTGGGTGATAAAGCAGGAATGGGTAGAGCTTACGGAAACATTGGTAATGCATACAATGCTCTAGGATATTATGAGCAAGCTATTAAATATCACAAGCAAGAATTAACAATAAGCAAAGAGGTAAGACTATTTTATATTCTCTAGTGAGGGGAAAATATTATTAACGCTTTTTTATTTTTTAAAGGTCAACGATCGAAGTTCAGAAGCGAGTACTCATGGAAATTTAGCAGTGGCCTATCAAGCAGTTCAAGGACATGAGGCTGCATTAAGACACTATAGGGTACATTTGGCAATAGCAAGAGAATTAAAAGACGCTGCCGGTGAAGCATGTGCACTTTTAAATCTCGCCAATTGTCTCTCATCACGAGGAAGATTCGAGGAAGCTGTTCCATATTATGAAAATTATTTAATGTTGTCTCAGGAATTACATGATGTTGAAGGTGAAGCAAAAGCTTGTCATTTTCTTGGTTATGCACACTATTGTTTGGGAAATCATCGTGAAGCTGTTAGATATTATGATCAAGATTTGGCTCTGGCAAAGGATTTGCAGGACAAATCGGGCATGGGAAGAGCATACTGTAATCTTGGATTGGCTCATTTGGCACTTGGAAATTTAGATACAGCATTGGAATGCCAAAAATATTATCTTGGTAAGATTTTTGATTCACACTGAAAAAAATTTGATTTCAAATAATCGACTATTGTCGAATAATAATTATTTTATAAATATTTATTTGATAATAGTAAAAATTACTTGAATCAATTTTTTTCAGTAGAGATATATTTAGAGTAGAGTATATTTAACTAAAAACTCAACTTATTCTTATTTTGAATTTTACAGCAATTGCTCACATGACAAAGCACTTTGCTGGTAAATTTCGAGCTTTGGGAAATATTGGAGATTGTCTTTTGAAACTCGGTGAGTCTGAGGAGGCAATAAAGATGCATCAGAGGCAATTGAATTTGGCACGGCAATCGGCTGATAGAAGTTTAGAGGCTGCGGCTTATGGAGCATTGGGAATTGCTCATCGAACAACGAGAAATTTGGACAAAGCATTAGGATTTCACACTCAAGAATTGACATTGAGACAAGAGGCTGGGGATTTAAGGGGTGAGTGTCGAGCACATGGAAATTTGGGTGCTGTTCATATGGCTTTGGGACAGTATACTCATGCTGTTAAGTGCTATCAGGAACAATTGGAGAGAGCAAGAGAGTTGGCTGATTCGGGAGTTGAAGCACAAGCTTTGGGTAATTTGGGAATTGCGAGATTGAACATGGCTCATTATGAGGAGGCTATTGGATATTTTGAGCAACAATTGGCTACGTTGGAACCCCTAACGACTGGAACGGCTTTATTGGATAAAGCTCGAGCTCTTGGGAATTTGGGAGATTGTTACGAAGCACTGGGTGATCCTGAGGAAGCTATCAAGTGCCATGAGCAACAATTGTCAGCAGCACTTAAATTGCGTAGTATTCGTGATCAAGAGAGAGCTTATAGAGGACTTGGTAGGGCTAGGGAAGCTTCGGGTAATTTGCAAGAGGCTTTAGTGTGTTTTGAAAAACGACTGGTGACTGCTCACGAAGTGGATAATCTCGAATTACGAGGTGCAGCTTATGGTGACTTGGGTAGAGTTCATACAGCTCTTGGAAATCATGAACAAGCTGTGAGTTGTTTGTCCCATCAATTAGCTTTGGCTAGGGGTTTGGGTGATCGGGCTGGAGAAGCAGAAGCTGCAAGTGGACTTGGAGTTGTACATCTTCTGATGGATGATCTCAATTCTGCTTTGCGTCATCATCAATTGGAATTGTCAATTGCTGAAAGTTTGGATGCAGCTGGATTGCAGGCGAGGGCTTGCGCTAATTTGGGAGCAACTCATGAAGCACTGGCTCAATTTGAGGAAGCAATAAGACTTCAGGAACAATCATTGAGTTTGGCTGCAGCGGCTGGTGATCAAATCGCAAGAGCAGCGGCTTTCTCGAGTCTTGGAAGACTTCATCATTTATGTGGCGATCTTTGTCGAGCACTTAGTTATCTTCAATCGGGATTATCATTGTCTGAAGGTTTAGGTAGAAGGGAAGAGGCAGCGAGACTTAGACATCGTTTGGGTTTAGTGCATTGGGAAGCTGGAGAGGCGACAATTTCTGTTGAACAGCTTGAAAAAGCTGCCAGTTTACTGGAGTCTCTAGATAATTCTTCAGCGAGTTTGGTATATATTTGTGGACAACCTAGTAGAGCTGAACTACTTTCTCAAACTTATAGAATGTTGCAAAAGGTTCTGGTGAATTTAAGTAGACCTGAGGAAGCTCTCAATTGGGCGGAGCGTTCGAGAAGAACCAAGAACAACAGTTTGGAAGATGCGACACATTATTCTGAGATTGTTGATAGGCAGAGGGGGATTATTTTATACTACAGTGAAGTGGAAAGTGAACTTCATGCTTGGTGTCTTGCTCCAGGTCGAGGACTAATTAGATTCCATTCAACTATTCTGGAGAATGGAGTTAATTTGGAAAAGAGAGTTCTTCATGCTCGAGAAGCACTTCTTGGTGAAACTAGTGATATCAATGAAGAGTGCGCAACAATTCCCTCGAGAGGTCATCATCTAAATGCAAGTTCTTACAGTTTGAGTAGTTTATTTAGCGTCGGTTCGGTAAGTTCACGAGCTGGTAGCGCACGATGGGGAAGAGCCAAGGGTCCATCCTGGCAAGCACCTCAAGCAATTCAACATCTATATGATCTACTTTTAGCACCATTCGAAGATCTTTTACCACCAACAAGAAAAGAATTGATCATGGTTGTGGAAAAGTCACTATTCCTAGCTCCTCTACCGGCACTTCAATCGCCTTCCAGTGAGGATTATTTGTGTGAGAGATTTTCTCTTTTGGTAGTACCTTCTCTTGCTGCTCTTAAAAAACGATCAAGAACTCCAATGCCAGAAGGTGGTGCAACTGTTGCCGCTTTAGTGGCAGGAAATCCAACACTACCTGACAAAGTACGAGAAGAATTCGGTTGGCCTGAAAGTGTCTCTTCAGCAGAGACGGAAACTGGAATTGTTGCTGAACTCCTAGAGACGAGACCTTTGATTGGTTCCGAAGCAACAAGATCAGCAGTCTTGAGATCATTGCCTGATGCAGAATGTGTGCATTTGACAACTCCTATTTTATGGAATTCATCGAATTTAGCATTATGTGCTGATCAAAGCGAGGAACCACCAGAGAGGCCAGAATATCTAATTGGTTGTCCTGATGTTTCGAGATTAAAATTAACAGCTCGTTTGGTTGTTCTTTCTAGTGGACATTGTTGGAGTGGTGGTGAAAATACAACAGTTACTACTGATGGAGTTGAAAAATTGACAAAAACTTTGCTTCACGCTGGTGCTCAGTGTGTTTTGATTGGAATGTGGCCAGTGCCACCAACAGCTGGTAGTATTTTACTCCGAGCTTTCTACAGTGCAATGTTACAAGGTGCAAGAGCATCGAGAGCTTTGGCTGAAGCTATGCAAACTGTTCAACACACTAGACATTTTGCTCATCCTATCAATTGGGCCGGATGGCTTCTCCTTGGAGGCGATGCACGACTATCAAACAAAGTAAGAAAATCATTTAATTAATTATTTAATATTATTATAAAAATATGGATTGAAAAAAGATGAAAATGAATTTTTTTTTCCAGGTTGCTTTGATGGGTCAGGCTTTAGCAGAATTGTTACGAAGTGGTCCAGAGCAGAGTCGAGACGCTTTGCGAGTGACTTTGCATCTAGTGGAAAAATCTTTACAAAGAATACACTGTGGTCAAAAAAATGCGATGTACACTACTCAGAGGAGTATAGAAAATAAAGTTGGTTCAGCAACTGGTTGGAGGGAATTACTCATGTCAGTTGGATTTAGATTTGAACCAGCTGGAAATGGAATTCGACCTTCGGTATTTTTCCCTCAAAGTGATCCGGAGGAAAGATTGACTAGATGTAGTGCAAGTTTACAAGCACTTCTTGGATTGGGTCCTGCTTCATTGCACGCTTTAGTTCGACTTTTACAGGTTTGTATCAATTTTTTAAAATAGAATTATTTAAATATTTTCTCAAACAAATTATTAATGTTAATTAATTTTAGGCGCCAGAAGTTGCGGAAGATGTAATATCAGCGATGAGAAGAGCAAGTAGTGCAACTGAGGGTCAAGAAATTTCGTTACCAGTTCACGTATGGAGAGCATCGGGTTCACACGAATTATTTGCAAGTTTGGGATTCGATTTAATGGAAGTTGGTCAGTCTGAAGTTATTCTCAGAACTGGTAAACAAGCTTCACGCAGAGCAGTGCAATTCGCTCTTCAGGCTCTTTTAGCACTTTTCGGTAAGAAATTTATAATTTAAAAATTAATTTTAATGAAAAATTTACCTTGTAAAAATAAATAAAAATTCTAGATACACAAGAAGCGCCAAAGAGTCTTAGCCTTGATTCTGGAAGTTCTATGGAGAGCCTGGTTTCCGTTGCTCCCACGGATAAAAGTTTATCGGATCGTCCAAGATTAGGTGGTGCTTTTGCTAGTTATGTTCGACATCGTGGCGAGCCTGACGGTAAAACAACAGAGCCTTCCAACATTTCTGTATCCAGACAATCAATCCAAAACGGAGGAGGTAATTTTTTTTCCTCAAATATCTGAAAAATAAATGTTTTCATATTTTTAAATTTTTTGATATTTTTTCAATAGGTGAATCAGATGTTGCATTCACTCCAAGTCCACCAATGGCAATGAATCTGAATCATCAGAAACGTATTAGAAATATATATTCTGATCAAAATGCAAGACCCGGTTCAAGTTCAAGTAGTTCAGTGACAGATTGGGAAAATGGTCACGCAACAGTATTGAGAAGACAACCTCTACCTCCTTTACCTGTAACTGTATTGGAACGATTGAGTGTAAGAACAGAAATTGGAAATGGTTCCTCGAGAAAAATAAGAAATTCCTCAAATGAGGAATTGAAACCTCCAAAGGAAACATCGCAAACTAATAATGAAGCGATACCTCTTAATTTACGAAATGTGGCAACTTCCTTGACAAGTTTGACACGTGAATTAACGCCAACAATTTCGGAAGTTTATCATGAACGAAATTTAGGATTGGGCCTAGCTCCATCTCTTTCAAAACTTCTTGAAGACGTGGATTCAGTTCCTGAGACTGAGCAAAATCAAATGAGAAGAACAGCACAACCACAGACTAATTGGTTGCACAACGAGACTGAATTATGTCGGCGTGATGAAGCCGATGGAAGATCAATTGCTGAATCCCAATGTAGCGCAACAAGTTCTAATAAAATACATAGAAAAGCGCCTCCACCTCCAGTATAAATTATTATTTATGAAGACATATTTATAAGAGGAAAAAAAAAATTTTTTTTTTGGAATATTGTTATTATGTTAACAATATTACTTAAGATATATGTAAGATATTGTTTTATATTATGAGCAGTGAAAATAAATCGATTAATCAGTTGGCATTTCATGCCACATTAATTTGTTTTTGTTTCTTCATTAAAAATGTCTATTTTTTTTAAAGTAGATTTTCATTATTTTTTTTTATTAAATACGAATTGATAATTTTCAAATTTTCCAGTTACAACAGCAGATAATTTCTTATAATTGATAAAAATTCATCAATTTACGCAAATAATGGTGAAAGAAAATTTTCAAGACTTTGTGGTAGAAAAATTTGTATTTAAAATAATAAGTTTAGTATAATTTTAAATGACCAGTTACTTTGTCTATTTTTTTAAAAGGTCCTGGCCCAACTGCACACACAGTTTTACTTCCTCTTGCAATTTGTGTTCGTCCTGCATCTTGTATCACATTTGTAATGAGTCCTAAAGATTTTGCATGTTTGTAAACTTCTAACAATGATACCTCGTCATCAACCTAAATGGATTAATTAATTTTTTAATTTTTAAAATCCTTACTAAATAGTTTGTTTTTTTTTATTATTATAAAAAGATTTTAATACTTGAACTGTTATTTTCATCTGGCCACAATCTTCCCAAGCATTTAAAATTGAAGGATATTTCAAAGCCATTTTGTATGATGCCACTGCTGCGTGAGCACATTGAGCAGCAGCTTTTCCTTTTCCCATTTTCAAATCTTTTCTAATTACCAAAACCATTTTAAAATCATCATTGGTAGTTGAAACTGGAGACATTTTCTGTGATTGAGAAGAAAACATTTAATTTAGTTTATGAAAAATATATATTAAAATGGAAAAACTAAAATAAATATTCAATAGTAATACATAATCTTAAGTTAAAAATACTTTTTTAATTGAAAACATTGAAAAAAAAAGAATAAGAATTAATTGTAAAGATTGTAAATAAAAATATTTTTACTTTGAGGTTATGTAAGGTATTGAATATTCTTAAATATATAATGAAAGAAAATAATTAATTTTGTTTTATGTATTTAAAAGAACAAAATCTATTCTTACCGGTAATGAATTATCGTTTTCAATTGACTTTTTATTACAATTCTTCTTTAAAAATAACGAATAAACACTATAAACGAATATAATTGCGTATGGTACTCCAATTTTTGGATCCAATAAACTTTCAAATGTTGAACGCAATAATTCCATCTTTTTTCTATTTGAACAATCAACTAATACAAATTCATTTTCTTTAGTAACGAAATTTTCAAATTAATTAACTTTCTTTTTATAAGTTATTTTTTACTAACAAAAATCATTTGTTTACAGTGTGCCACATGTATTCAGGATATGGTAGGTGTTTATTCAATTACTACACTGTTTTACCGAAACGTACCGTACGTTCTCAGTTACGAACTATACGTAATCTTGCTACGTATTGTGCTTTGATATAAATTATACAATAATATATTTAACTGGTTAATAATAAATGTTTAACATTATAACCAATTATTTTAATAATCACTAATTATTTTAAAAAATCAGAAGAGTGTAAATCGTGAATCAAACATTAATTTACAGAGCATTTGAGTTTTATGTAATTTTGAGGTTATGTATAAAACATTTCAAAATAATATTTATTTTATATAAAGAAAAATATTGAATTTTTTTGCTCTTTTATAATATAAATAAATTATAATTTAAAATAACAATAATTTTATTATCATATAAGTTTTATTAATAATAATTACCATTAGGATAAAAATTTCCATCTGATAACTTAATTTATATTTACAGATAATCGGAGAAAAAATGACAGCAATATTAGGTGGAGGTATTTCAGGATTAAGTGCAGCTTATTACGCCCTTGAGAATCCAAAATTAGGATCTATAGTTTTATTAGAAGCATCAAATAGATTGGGAGGATGGGTATGTACGAAAAAATCACCAACTGGAGCAATTTTTGAACAAGGACCTAGAACAATTCGACCACATGGTGATGCTGGTAAAAATACTTTGAAATTAGTTGACGATTTGAAATTAGGTGAAAAAGTTTTATCTATACCTGTAAATCATCCTTCTGCACTAAATAGATTTATCTATGTGGATAAACAATTACACGCTTTACCAATATCATTGAAACCATTGTTTAAAACATGTCCACCATTTAAACGACCTCTAATAAAAGCAATTTGGAGTGAAATACATACAGCTTCCATTCCAAGTGATGATGAAAGTGTATATAGTTTTATATCAAGGCGAATGGGAACAGATATAGCTGATAATATTATTAGTCCAATAATATGTGGAATATGTGCAGGTGATGCAAAGAAAATAAGTGTCAAATTTTTAATGCCAAATGTATTTAAAGGAGAACAAAAATATGGATCTATATTTAAAGGAATGATTAAAGAAAAATTATTTAATAAACTAGGACCAAGTAATATGAAAACTGATAAAAATATTCCAAAAGATCCACTTGAAATGAATTTAGTAGATCGTTCAATAAAGTCTAATTGGGCTTTTTGGACATTGGACGGTGGTTTGGAACAATTGTCTCAAGCTTTAGCGAATAATTTATATTCTAGAAATACACACATTCGTCTAGGTACAGAGTGTAAAGAATTAATATTTCATTCGGATTCCGTGGAATTAAGATCGGGAGGTGAGACAAAAAAATATGAACGAATTATTTCAAGTTTACCGGCGAAAGATCTCGCTAAATTAGTTAAAAATCAACATCCGGAATTAGCAAACGAATTGGAAGCAATACCAACAGTTAATGTTGGTATCGTTAATCTCGAATATCCTCAAGGAATTGTACCTCAAGAAGCATTTGGATTTCTTGTACCACCTAAAGAGGGATTGCCAATTTTGGGAACTTCTTTTGATTCCTGCATTTCCCCTCAGGAAAATGTGGTAAGTTTCTTATTTTATTTTTTTTTTTAACAGCACAATAACGGAGAAGGGGAAAATATTTTTTTCTTTTTTTAACAGGTTATGACAGTGATGATCGGTGGAGCATGGTTCGAGGAATATTTTGGTACAAATCCAACGGAAGAGTACTTATTATCAGTTGCTTTAGAACAATTAAAAACGATATTAAAAATTGAAATACCACCACTCTCGCAAAACGTATCGATCCTAAGAAATTGCATTCCACAATATATTGTGGGACATAACGATAGAGTAGAAAGAATTAAAGATTATATTTCGGTACATAAACTTCCCTTAGGATTGTGTGGCTCTTCCTATGAAGGTGTTGGAGTTAATGATGTTATTTTATCAGCAAAAAAAGCGGTATCTAATGATAATTAGTTACCGAGTTTCATTGTAATTAAAATTATTAATATTGTATTCGCATTTCATATGATTATTCCATTTAAAAATTTGTACAAAGGCATTTAGTAACAATTTTTAATAAATCTGTAGTTTAAGTTAATAATTAATTTCTTCTTTTTTTTAAATATAATTTATTTTAAAAAATTATATTTTTCGATTATAAATACAAATTAATCTAAATTTTTTATTGCAAAAATTGTTTAGAAATTATTTTCTTAATTACTATATACAGGTACTGTTAGTCATATGGCAATTGTCAAAATCGACAAAAAAAAAAATGTGCATCCCGAAAGAATTATTTGAACGTAGCTAATAAATAGATCTGGAGTGAAAAACTTTCCTTAGCTTTATCAGGATCTTCAGTCGAAGTTTGTGAAGTCGCAGACCTTATTCTGTTAAGGAAAAAAGACTAACTGAATATTCGAAATAATATAAAAAAAATTTCTAATTCCACTAACTACGCAATGCATTTCAAAACAATATTATTGGCAAATTTTTAATTGTGCACACATACACATGCTGCACTGTGAATCCAAAGTTTTTCTTTAATTATAAATAGAAATTGAGTAATCAATTAAAATCGTGTTTACAAGTTGAATTAATTTTGATTACGAAATAAAAAAAAATTAATAATCAAACACTATAATTGTAATCGATTATAATTTAAAATTTAATTAAAAAGTTTAAAGTCAAACATTCAAAATTCAATCGATTAGCTATTATAAGTATAGGTCAGAAATAATGTGTCTTCTACATGCCAAAGGCATTAGTTTTATTTCAGCAATTTATGTGCACAAGAAATAACCATAAATTGATTATATTTAAAACTATAATTAAAATAATCTTTAACTTTTCGTTTGTACTAAAAGTAATCTACTTATGCGAAATGTAACAAAAAAAAAAGAGAAATGGTCTTATCTACAAACTAAACGAAACAGGAAACAATAACAACGTAGTTTCAAGTACACGAAAATAAAATAAAATTTTATATATCGAAAACCTAAAGAAAAAATAACATGAGTAAAAGTATATTTTTTGTACTTTAACATTATTCTTTCTCATATTTTATTCCTTAAAGGAAATTTAAACATTTTATTTTTATTTGCACAAAGCCTTGATTTAACCTTCAAAGTCACTGAAATAACTTATTTCGGCTTTTGTTGCAATCAATACTAATAAACTTACAACAAATCAAGATCTCAAACAGATAAATTAAGAAATAGAATTTAGTTTAAAACATACTTTAAGCAGTCTTTCATAAAAAAAAATAATAATTAAATCTAACTAATTATCGACATATCTGCTCCTTTTCCACAAAAACAAAATATTTTATAAACCCATCACCTTATCCTCTACATTAAATAATCTATTCATTAATAACTATTATCATCATTCTCACTATAAGCTAATTTTCCATTAAAAAAAGTTCGTAAACATCAGTCGAGTTTCTAATCAAAATTTTCAACAAAAAGATGCATTTAATGTTTCAAAATGCTTTAGAATCAAACTTGTAAAAAAAAAAAAAAACTTTCATGCGCTGCAATATCACGTGTCATACGCAATTAAATAAGAAATGATTTCTTGATAAGTTATCGAAATAATAGTATTCAAGGTAATAGTGAATTTTTGATAAAGAAAAATCCATACAAAAGACAGATATAGGAATGATGTTACGTAATAATCACTCTATAGAGAACAAAAATATCTAAAAATGCAAGCAGTATATATGAGAGCATTTTTTCACTGATTGACAGTACCTGCATATTTAACCTCATCGAAAGCTTTTCTTGCTTTTTTAAGTTCCTCATTCATTGTGAGTAAATCTTTTACTCTGGCATATTTTCTCGCATCTTTTCTAACTGAAAAGCAAGATTTTTATAATTATGAGTGTCACTTTTCCCCAAAAAATTCAGAATAGTGTAACCAAAATGCAAATTTAATTTTTACATTATCAGAATTCTAATTCTGATATAATTAAATACAATTATCATAAATAAATACAAATAAATAAAGATTCAATAGCGAAAAATTTAAATATAAATAATGTAATAAATATAGGAGTATATTTAAAGGACTCACCTAAAAATACGATATCCTCAACCTGGACTCGACCAGTACGACCAATTTCCATTGCACGATGTGTCATTTCTGTGATGAATTCTATTACAAGATCTTCCAATAAATCTACACTTTCTGTATAAGGATTTTGATCATCTCCAAAGCCATACATCATACATCTTAATTCCTTTGAGAAAAGTCGTTTACGTCCTCCAGGTAAAGTTCCTCCTATTGCAATTTCAGTCTCCTCATCCTCAAACTGCAAACAATTAAATTAATTAATAAATTATACAGAAACATGACAAACAAAATTATTTTCAAATGTAAACAAACTTAATTTTTCCTCTACACTTGAAAAATACCACATATTTTTCTTAAAATAAATTTTTCAAACTTCCGATTTAAACAAACATCAAAAAGATTATTGTTAAAAATAAATTTTATCAACAATCATATTCTTAAATCAACAATAATTTTAGAAAAAAATGCGCGATTAAAGATTAGAGGTTATGACGTTGTTAAAACCTAACCTCAAAAAGAGGCACAAAGAAGGAGTTATTAATTATATATGCAGGATGATTGTAAGGATTGCAAAAAAAAAAGTATATACGATAAAAATGTCTAGATAAGAAAGAATCGATTGTGAAGAGGAAAAAGTCAAGTTTAATACTCACTTGTTCGAATCCCTCTTCTGCGGCCATTATATCAAATCAACAAACGTCAAAGAAAGAGTGATTCTGCGGTGAAATCAAGATTGAACGACAAAAATTAAACATGCAATCCTTGTAAAGTCTCCACGTAATAAAATCCTGTTTGCGTGTTTTCGCGTGCTTAAAATACAATTTCAAAAACAGAATTTACTAAAACTCGTTTAGCGAAAAAAGTATATATATATATACATATATGAACGATAACAAGCGAAATCAGCTGATCAAACTTTGAATTCGACAGATGGCCTTGTGAGTTTTGATATCGCGCGCACGCTCAAAATTTCTCTCTCTTTCTCTCTTTCTCTAAAAAGACTTCTGTCCCGCTAAATTAGACGAAACACATTTCCAACTCATTGCCACCTGCTTCTTTGTATCGAGAAGATATCCTTCAAATTCACAGAGAAAATGTGTAACAGATGACTGACATTTCTACAAATTGAAGTGACAAAAATAAAGTTTTCAATATTTTCATCTCACATAACCTAATGCAATGTTTCTTATTATTCTCCTGAAGGTCGGGTACGATTAAAAAAAAAAATCGATTATCTACCTTGGCCACAATGAACACCTGGCGGAACCAACAGCTAAAAAGAACGCGATTTTCATTTTTTAATTACAAGTTTATAGCAGTCTTTTAAATTAAGCTGTGTGAATTTCAAAGAGGAAAGCATGAAATGCGTAAATTGACAAAAAGAACCACGTAAGTTGATTATTATTTTATATATACCTATACCAAATAATTAAGTACTTGTTTTTGTGTAAACATTTTATATGGATATTTGAGAAACAAAAATTTTTTTCAATTTCATAAAATATTTCAAAATTTGTCTACAAAAGTAAATTTGCACTTATATATAGTCTGTATAAATATTTTCTTCAATTATAATCATAATTTTAATCAAACAAAGGAAAGTAGTTCACGTAGTGTAAATTGTTACAAATTATTACTATTCAATTCAATAAGAGAATCAATTGAAATTTAAACAAACTGATATTGTTATTTGTTTTTTTGATTGTTATTTGATTTTCAAATTTCGTTAATTTAAATTATTAGTTTTTTTTTATATAAACTATATTGATTATTATTGAATACATTATTTATTTGCAGTAATAAATGGATAAATTTTTTAATATTCCAAAAATGTTTTTTTCAGTACTTTTAAGAAGAAAGTGAAATTACCACACAATGCATTGCAAAGAACTACAATTGACAGAAGGGAAAATAGTATAATAAAAAGTTTAATTCAAAAAAGTCCACCAACATTTACAATTCGTAATAATGAATCTGCAAGTTGGGCTGAACAAAGTGGTGGTACAACGACACTTTCATGGCCCGAAGATATGGAAGAAGTGGCCACTAAACGTGTCACTCAACAATGGAATGCTGTGGAAAGAACACTTTACAATGAAAACGATCAACTTCCACTTGGTTCATCTTTCGATGAATGCCTACAGTGGCAAAATCAATTGCCACACTTAAGAATTGTTGGTAAAAATCTTGAAAAAAAAGAAACAGAAGAGACTGAAAACAATGAAGATTCTACATTGAAGAAAAAGCAACAGGATTTTGAAACTCAAGAGACAAACGAAATTACCTCGAATAATAATTTTTTACTAGAGGTAATTTTTAATTTTTAATTTTACTTTTAATAATTCATTAATAATTTTCTTTTTTTTTTTTTTTAATAGGACTCAGAAGGTTCAACATCAGAAAAACACAAACGTGCTCGAGAAGATGTTGTTGATGAACTCATGGAATATGTAAATTCCGCTCTAATTCTTCGAGACGACATTGAAGAAGAGAATATGTTAAGTCACGATTTAGAGGAACTACTGACAATAACTCCAGCACCAACAAATAATTTTCGTAGTACTTTTAGTTCTACAAAACAAATTTATCGTGATGACAATTTTCAAAAATCTGATTCTGATAAAGCCTCATGTAAAATAAAAACCCATATTGAAACAAATGACACGGACAAATCTTCTTGGTATAAAAATAATATTTATTAATAGAATAAAATTTGGTGAAAAATAAAAATATTTTCAAATATTTCAGGAATCGTCGAACTGCTATATCGGCAAGATATCCAACAGTAGAAACAAGTCACAAGAGTGAAAGACCCATAACTCCGCAATTAAGTAGAAATAAAACGGGTATGATTTTTAATGAAAAAATAGTCGTCAGTCCAGTACCATTTGTTCGTTCAACGAGAGAAAGTTTTTGTACTCTACAAACAGCTCCAATTCAAATTTTAGGACAATCAACAAGTACAACATGGAATCGAGGTGATTAAAAAAATAAAATTCACTTTTTATTTAGAATTAATATACAATAAAAATATAATTATTTTTTCTAATTTCATATTCAGGAATGAATAGACAAATTAATTCTGGACGAAGATTAGTTTCGGGGAGAAAAACGAGTCTGATGCGAGAACCACAAATTCATTCGGCATGGCAGCCACCAGTTTGTCCCACAATATGGCCAAAAAACGTGAGACTTGCTCCAATTGATTCTAGCCGACTGCCTAATTCTAAACAGAGGTAAATAATTTTCTATTTTCTTTAAATGATTCTTTAGAAAATCAAAATAAAAATGAATTTTTCAAAGAAAAATATTTTTTTTTATTCAAGAACAATATCAACTGCTACGCCTCAACGTGGACGAGGTTCATTGAGTCCAATTCCTCAAACAACGCTGCCAATTTCATTGCAAAAATCAAATACAAATCCAAAGGAACTTTTAGAAATACATGGTACTCATATTCTTGGACAATCGCAAAAAAATGATGAGCTCAAATCAAATTTTAATCAAACTCCAAAGCATAAAAGCAGCGGAAGAAAGAAAGCGCGACATAAAATCGATAATGTGTGATTGAAAAAAAAAAAATTTTGATTTCTCAAATTTTCAACGTTCATAAAAAGGAATTTTTAAACTTGTTAATTAATGCACTAATTAATTAATTTCAATTCTTAATTACTGGATTATAAGAACAATTTTTTAATGTTCAAATCTTATATAGTTAATTAAAACCGATATACTGTTCTTTTATTCAATGAATATTTAAAACATTGAGAAAATAACAATTTTTCGTGGAAAAAAAAAATTGTGATTATCACAATAATATAAAAATAATCTTGTGATCAATTATAACAATCAAAAACGTAATTATCAGGCAGTTAAAACGATTTATTTTTAAATCGTACATATTGTGATTTTAAATTACTATTTGTAAGGGGACCACATAGTTGTAATTAACATATCTTTGAGCATGTCTTTATAAAAAAAAAAAAGAATCAAACTACCTCACATCTCGCGTCAATGTTTATGTAATTAATCAATTTTACGTATAGAAGAAAAAAAAATATTTTTATATATAGCATTCATTCATATATATGTTCTGTAAATACATTAATTGAAATTAAAAATGTATTGATGTAACATTAAATTTGCAAAATGTTTTCTAATAATTGCATTTAATTAAAGATTTACTTATTATTTGTTTTTAAAAAATATTCTTTTAATTAATTTTTTAATTAATTTTGCTTTAATTTCATTAGTTTAAATCATTAATAAACAAAATTTTAATTTTCATCTAATTCGTTCAAATGAAAATTATGTTAATTAGAAATTTTCTTAATTTAAAAATTATATTTGATTGATAAATATATCTTTCTCTCGATGAGAAATTTGGGATATTTTTTGACGAGAGAAAAAAAAAATGCGCACGCGCTTTTTGTAGCGCGCGAACACCTAAAGAGGATCAAAGCTTATGAGAGGAGAATCTGTCTCTAAAAGCTCTTTGAAGCTTTCAGTTGGCGTTGCGCGAGCCACAGGACAACATATTTACGAGCTTCAAGTGAAATAAATAGCATTGAAAAAGCCGCGAATAATTTTAAATAATAAATTTAATGATGTGAATCAAATTTATAATCAACAAAATTCTAATCTTCTTTTTGAAAATATTTCCCATTTAAAAAAAAATCATTGGAGATTTATAAAGAAGTAAATATTGAAAAATAAAAAGTTTTATCAACTTTTTTTTTTTTAATAAAGTTAAATTTTTTTTCTATTTTATATAAATTATGCGAATAAAATTCTTTTTTACAATTTCAAAAAATTTCTTTGCCAGTTCATAAAACATTTTTCTCAATAAATAAGAAACCAAGAAATATTTTCTCAACGTGAAAATTTGTTCTTTTTTTTTATTATGCATTAAGTTTTGAAATTGAGAAAAAATTTGCATATTTCTTCTCAAGATTGTTTTTGCTTTTTATTTATTTATTTCTTTTTTATTGAAAAAAAAAAAAATGCTTTTCTTGACTTGGAAAATATTTCAAGGGAGGACATAACATCAATTTTGTCCGTGGCTGAAATTGCTTTTGCAGCCCATAAAGCTTATATATGCGTCTCTCTATATATATATGTGTTTGCAACTCGGACTTGAATTTTTCTCATGTCAGTGCACTTTATGACCATAAAATTGTACATATATAGTTTGATGCTGCTTGGTTGATCAGCAGTCACCCTCGGGTTTTTATCGATTTTCTATATTCAAACATTCAACGTCGTAATTATAATGGTGAGCCACGTGAATGATTTTGGCGCGACAAAGAAGTCAGTTGCACTACCCGAATATGCCAAACCAATCGAGGATCATTTGACGCTCTTCACCAGGATAATAGGCATTTGTACTGCTATCGGTCAGTAAAAAAAAAAAAAAAATTCATTTTTCAAATCTTATCTAAAATATTGAAAATCGATTTTTATAATTATATATTTCTTTGCCAAACTTAATTAACTGTCACTTGCACGCATATTAAACGTTATTAATTTTTTCTGAAAGATAAAGTAAATTTTTTAAAAAATTCTCTTTGCTCGAAATTAATTATTATGACAATGATTGACTTGTTGATTATATTGAAAAGAAAAAAGTTACTCGGAAAAAGTTTAGCACAATTATATTTTTGAAAGGATTTAATCTCTCGTCAATTGACTATATTAAATTTTCTTTTTTTTTTTTGTTGCAAACTGTCAAAGAAAGTTTTTAAATTGGAAAAAAAAAAGTTTTTATATCGGAGCAAAGAGAGAACATGAAGCCATGAAAGTTGCACTGAAATATTATGAGTCTACCTATACTGACATTTGTGAGAGCACAGAGAGTGTATTTGCTTTCAATGGGTTTTTATAAGTTATGCTGACTTTGATCTTCATAAATCTGTCTCTCTCTCTCTCTCTATATAAAAGAAATCACATTGAAAATGGTAACTGCCATATAAAGAAAACGATATATTTTTAGCCACGTGTGTTTTATAAAAGAAATTTTTTTTTACTTCGTTATAAATGAAAGAATAGAAATTTCCATTTTGTAGAAATTTGAAAACAATGGAAAAATATTTATTTTATTTATAATATTGTAAATTTCTCGCGAATTTTTCTTCTAGAATGTACTTACAATTTTTTTTTGACAAAATGATTAAACAAATAGTTTATAAGGGGGAAATAATAAATTTTACAGAATAGGAATATATTTGAGAATTTAATTGTAATTAAATTTTAAAATACCTAAATGAACTTCACACATATAGCACAGCGTGTGCATTGGAATATCATCCGAGAGCTAAAAGTTTCGTACGTTTTCAAATTTAAACGCTACTCAAACTAAAATCGAATTAATTTGTATGCTCTCTGTGGAATTGCAAATATGATTTAAATATTCTCGAAGGATATATTATAAATTAAAATAACCTGATTTCAAATATATTTTCTCTTTTTATAGAGAAACACTATTCTACTATAATTTTTCCCCACGAATAGAATAATTCTTTTAATCTCTAAAGTTACTTCTTGATGCCGTCTGACCAAAATTGATCCAAACTACTTAATCTCATCTAAACTAATTTTGTAAGTTAATGAACATCTGCCTCAAATAAACTTATAATTAATTTCTATTAAACATAAACTATTTTTTTTTTTATAAATCAATAATAATGAGAATTAAATTATAAAATAGAAATTATTATCATTAATTTTGAATTTCAAGTGATTTTTGAAATAGATAATTTTTTACCCATTTATAACAAACAGTCAATCAAGAAGCTTCCTCCGATCGAATGACCACAATTTACACTTGTTATGCAATGTGTGCACAGGGCATGTGCTTTGAATATTGCTCATTTCATCATCTTCGCACTATATATCCAAGTATATGTAAACATCAATTGAGAATTTCATTTTCAATGAATTTTAGATATACTCTAGTCCCTGATGAATATGTTATAAAACGTGACTGTTATTTCGATTTAAAGAAAATTATTTAGAAATACAGAAAAAAAAAATTTTTTTTAACAATCATTTTTATGAAAGTTTTTTTTTTAAAAAAAAAAAGATTCGAAACAATGTATGTTTTGATTGGTTTGACAGTATATAACAATTTTATTCTATATTTAAATTTCTATTTCATATATCTATACAATTCCCTTCCAATTGATGTGGAGTTTAATAAAAGTTTTTATTTTCAAAAACCTTTTTTTCTATTCTAAAAAGAGGTTTTCATTTGTTAAATAGAAATTTAATCTAAAGATAAAAGAAAACTTCTTCTGTACTAAATATAAAAGGTAAAATATAAAAATTTTTTTCTCTAATTAAAAAATATTTCCTCCCTTACTGAATAAATATTTTAATAATACTTGAAAAAATAAAATTTTCTTTGAAAAAGGATAAAAAAAATTCTGTACAAAAAAAAAATTGTGATTTTGCAATGTGAAAAAAAGGAAAATTTTTTTTTTTTTTTTAAATTAGAGAAGAAAAACAAAAATTCGAATTTCATTATAACTTTTTTTTCTATAATATATATATATATTTATCTTAGAAAAAATAGAATCTTTTTCTCTATAGATTGAAGCACAATAAAATATTTATTATATATAATTTTATGGAGAGTTGGTATATAAAAATGCAAATAAGAATCTATAAGAGGGAAATGTCCTCTTTGGAGGGGGAAGAAGGAAAAACTCTCACTTATTTACAGAATATACATAGCAAACCGCCCCACTGAGTCGAATGACAATGCACGATCTGCTTGGGTAATGCGGGAAAAGAGGTCGATGGTATAAGCTTTGTTTATGGGAGAGAATTGCTCCAAGTGTATTGGTATAGAATCTATATATATATATAAGATGCTATACGAAAAAGAACACGACCGGAAAATAGTAAGTGGATACAATATAAATCGCTAAAGGAAAAAAGTTTCTTTACTCCCTCTTGAAACTCAAACATCTCAAATAACACACACCAAAAGCCATTTCGTCTGATTAAGCACTACTGCAGAACATGTTTTATGATATAAGAAAAAATACTAAAACTATATTAATCCTAATCTTGCCATATAACTTATGGAAATATTTCAATCTTACAAAAAGCAACTTCCACAACTTATTACAACATAAATCCATCGAGTTTTTCTAATTCTCCAAACACTCTACTCTAAATCAATTTAATTTTCAAAAACTTTTTTTCGTGAAAAATATTTTCAAAAAAAAAAAAAACAATTAAAAAAAGAAAATTTCATTGTATAACCATATTTTCTTCCTGAGATTTCTATATGCGAGAAATTCTCTTTTAGACAGCTTTTTAAATTTTATTTTCAGAAGAAACTTTTCCCTGGACTGCAAACTATATATATGTATACGCAATGGCATCATTTTTTTCAAATTTAATGTGTACACATATGAATAAAACTACAATATATATATATCACACATTCTCTTTTTTTCTTCACATATATATGAAAGGATAATAATTTTTTTTTCACACGCAGTAAAAATATTTTCACAGTAAAAAAAGCCCATCTACTTTTATGACATCTACATATATATATAATAAACCATTGGAAAAAAAGTATACAGCATATTATTTCATAACTACCATTTCAATTAATAAAATAAACTGTAATAATCAATAAAATAAACTAATAACACAGAAAATTAAAAGGCATTAAAATAAGCTGCAAATTATTTTAATCCAATTTTGCTTATTTTAATCCATTTTGGTATTAAAATAAGCAAAATTGGATTAAAATAATTTGCAGCTTATTTTAATACCTACCTTTTAATTTTCTGTGAATAAAAGCAAAGAATATCGAAAAATAAAAGTTTTGAAATTATTATTTTTATATAAAAAAGAACTGTAAAATATTTAATTTTTTTTTTTTTTATAAAAAATATCCCACTTTCATAGCTTGAATGAATGATGTTTTATTCAACAATGTATGTCTTTTGAGAAAAGGCAAAGGAAAGGTCTTCCAAGAAAGACACAAAAGAAAAATATCTTTAAAGACTTTTTTTAAAAAAAAAAAAGAAACTAAGAGCATTCTCTATGCGAAATAATTTTTCTTTATATTTATTTTCAAACAATAGCGCAAGAGAGAAATGATATTCATAAAAAAAAAAAAACAGATGATATCTAATTTTCACACCAGCGGATAATAAAAGTTGGGGAAATTGACGAAAAAAAAAAAAAAAAACATTATCCTAGAGATAAAACTTATTTAATAAACTTTATCGAGGAGCTTATTAAAAGGATATATAAAAAAAAGGAAATTTTTTTTTATATTTTATCACGTAAATAAAATATTTGCAACGAACGATAAATAAAAATAACTGTGTAAAATATTTTGAAGGTAATACAAATAAAAATAATAAAATATGAAACAATAAATTTCTAATTAACTTAATTTTTCAAACAATGAATTTTAATTTTAAATCCGCATGCGTTTATATATATATATATACAATCGTAAACTTTTAATTATTAAAAATAGAGAATATTCGCGATTTGTTATTTAAATGAAATGAAATTATATTTATTGAAACGTGATGAAATAAACACGTATTTACTATATTACAAAATAATGTTCGCATAATAAATTGATTAAATAAGTTTTATGATTTAATAATTTTCTCTTTTGATTACAACGAAAACCGCGTTTAGTTCTCAAGTATGTACGTCAAAAGCAGATGCAATTAAATGAAATTCTCTTATATATATGAGATAAAAGAGAAGAATGATAAGTATGTTTCATTCAAAAAAAAAGAGTAAAATTGCAAATAACTCTTACTAAACAATTTGAAATTTATATTAAAATAATATTTTTTTTAATCATTTTAAAAAATATTTTAAACAAAATATTTATATTTGTCTCCAAAAGAAGTATAAATTTGTTTTGTGACAAATTATGTACATATTTGATTCAATAATACTTTTTCTCACTTTTATATAAGTTTCGGATCAATGGGAGTAAAATCTCTCGAGAACCACAGTTTTCACATTTTCATTTCACATAGGAATATACATATATAGTATACTAAATATAAATATAGTAGATAGTATATGCACTTATTCAAAGTCTGCCCTTTCCTATCTAACTCAGTCTCTATCGCCTATAGGTATACATGTATGAACACACAGGTAATATATCATCAGAAACTGCATGTACATATATATACAATATATATATATAAGATACTTCGTTATCATTTAAACGTTAGAGCTCGAGATATTCCAATTTCCAAATACAACCTGTCTCTTTAAAAATTCGTTAAAATTGAAGAATAGGTTTTACAAAACCATGAAATTTTTTATTAAAATCTCAAATTTAATAACCCTCTGGTGTTTTAAGTTAAAGAAGAACTGAAAAAAAACT